AATTTTGCTACTAATTCATTCAACCTATGTTTCGTTGCCCTCTTCGCATACATATTCGTAAAATGCTAGGCTCTGAAAATTTGTATGGCATCTCCAAAGTTTTGTGTTTACGCCTACAGGATGCTGCCAATAAGCGTGAAAATTAGTATATAAATCTCGACACCTGAATAAATATTAGGATTAAAAAAACATTGCATTAGAGCGATGAAATATCGTTTAGGTTTCCGAATAAATGAAGGTTTGGTAGTCAAGTTTTCGCTCCTACATCATATCATTCATATGTCAAGCAAAGATATTTAGTTAGTATAACTTTCGCAGAAGCATTTTGAGACTAAATTGCTTCGTTTTAAATTTAGCGAAGATTGTTGTTGCTTTCACTAAGTTTTGCGTGAAAATGTGTAAAATTCGTTCCAAAAGTGTCCGATCGGTCCAATAGTGTCCGAAAGGTATCTCTGTTTAGAGACTTGCACCAATATTCTTTAATATAACTCTTTAAATATAGGCTTCTTTGCATAATATGATTAACTTGATCAACTTTGAACAATTTATATTGTAAATAGATACAATTCACGACATTAATTGCATGATTCTAAAATATCACGATTCGCTCAATAATTAATCGCGAAAATTTGGCCAAAAATAGTTGACCATTACGAATTAATTTAATTTTTGGCATTAAAACCAAGTGCACAGAATATTTCTGAATCGCACCGTGGAAAATAATTCAAATGGAGAGTCTACAACGGAAGTTGGTACGCCTGTTAGCGTGTTTCAGTTCAAGCCTGAGATTCAAGCTTAGTCGTAGGGTGTCAGTGAATGTAGTGAGGTGGGCTGTTCGGCGTGTGTTGTTATTTGTATTTTATTGTGTAAGTAAAGTTCCATGTCAAACGTAAGTAGGTCAAAATTTTATAAGATAATTGTATACTTTATGGATATAGATGTTTTTTAAGAAAAACTGTATTAAACCAATTTATAGAAATTGGTTGACAGCCAACGTTTCCCAATGATCGACGGCATAGTCAGTAGAAAGTTGTTAATTCTACGTTTATACCTAGTAGAGGGAATTAAAAATCTTATTACGTTGATTCTATAATGTGGTAATGTTATATTATAGATAATATATAGACAATTTCTCATTTTATGTCTGCAATGGGATATGGGAACACTGCTTACTGAGTGCTTAGTGAAATGAACAATGCCACGCTCTACGTACAGGCTTACAGCCAGGGTAGGTAGCTAGCCAGCTGTGCGTGCGTGATAACGAATCACGGGTTATTTTTCCATGTAATGCAATATGCCTAATTTGCAGTCTAAACGCCAATCATACTTTTAAACGCAATTTTGGTTTTGATTTAGTACTGTAAAATTATTTTTTCAGTTAATGAAACCAGTGGCCACTTGCCCAGTGCGGCAGTGCATGATTGAGATGCTAATCTTGATTCCTAACTTTTTGTTAGTACTAAAGGTAAAGGGTGGAATTTGAAAATATTTTTTCTTACTTTCAAATATTTAATAATATAGATAGTCACTTTTGACTCTTTCTGTCTCTTTGATTCAAATATTTCACACAAGTTAGCCTAGGTAGCCTACCTAGTACCTATAATATCCAGCTAGTTATTTCATAATATCCAGCTCAGCTGATTATTTCTGATTTCAGTTCATGTCAAACAAAAAGTGTTTGGGAGATCAGGTAACTAAAAATAAACTAATTCTAAAAAATCTAAGTTGTCACCATGAATTTCATCGGAGCCTTTTTGAAATATTGGGCAGAAATTCCTGAAATGGCTAGTAAAAACACTTGTTTAGCCAGTTTTTTTTTTCAAGAATTGCAGGTAAAAATAGGCTGTATTTATTATTTTTTAGTGAAGAAATGTGAAGGCATTTGGAAGTTTGGAATGGGTGAAATTAGTCAGATTCATGGGCTTTCTTTGTCTGATTCACTGGTGGCTTCAGTCCTGTTTTTCACCAAGGGTGTAGAGTTACAGAGTGAGCAAGTAACTGGAGATGTTTTATGAAAAGTTAGGACCTAAATCTATGTCTTCAGAAGATCTTGCCAAAAGATTTCTCTTTATATACTAATTCACATTTATTTTCATCAAGAAACCTTGAAGGTTCAGATTGTTTTGGTGACAAATCCTCTGAAATACTGGCAACATTTCAGACCTAAAAACTATTGCCAAACTCAATTTAGTGGCTGTTGAAAATATCTATGTTCTGAGCCATGTTGGACTTTTTATGTACAAGTTCATTAAACTAGCAGTCTGGCAGAGAATCGCAAAGATTTTGAAGCCCTACTATTTTGGTATGCTGCCAGATTTTGCCAATCTTGAACCCTTATCATTGGGTTTTATCATATTTATGTATATAATGTACTTAATTCCACTGAAATGTCAGCATTCAATGCTTCCTAGGCTATAACTTGAAAATGAATGTTGTTACATTCAAAATGTTTTTAATAAATTGAAATTACTTCTTTAAACCTGTATTTTTATCAAGCAATGTCATCTGAAGAACTGTTTGGCCCTGAAAATTTATATCACCTGTATTTATATGAATACCTATATATATATTTATGGCTGATTGTCCTTAGTCCAATTGATTAATTGAAAATTTTAATTTATTTGTATTTCATTCCAGGTCAGTTAAAGTGATCAATAAAAATTTGAAAAATAATGGTTTCTTATTTAATTTCTGCCGTTAGTTTTATTTCATGTGTGTACCCAATATACAGCACATCCTTTCAATTACTGATTTGGCACTATTTCCAAAAGACCATCCCATAGCTATTTTTGTGGTATATATATTAAATTAATGCTATTTATTTGTTTTGGTACACATATTGTTTGCGAATCATGATGGCTAATCCAGTTCTGAGTGTGTCTTCCATGGATGATAATGATGTTGCAAATGTATCTGTAGCCAGTGAAATTGTGGCTAAGGCAAGCACAAGCTCTCCTGTTGCAAAGCCAACAAGTCCTTTGTCTCTTAGTGCATCTGATGTAACTACTGATTCATCTGCCCTGGCCTCCCCTGTGATGGATATTTCATCTGCTTGCGCCATTTCAGCTGTTGTAACTACCAGTGAAATATCAACTCCAGTCGCCTCGTCAGCAAGTGAGTCGTCGATTGCAGTTCTATCTACCACAAAATCTGCTGCAATCATCACAAGTTCAACGTCTTCTAGCACTAGTGTGCCATCTTCTACCATTGCCCCCCAGATTACAGCTGCCAATCAACACGCAGTTGTATCAACAGCTTTTGTATCCAAATCTAGCGATTTTCCTGTAAGCTTGGGTTCTGTTTTAATCCCCAAGCTTGTATCTACTGCATCAAGTGCCATGACTCCCAACGCAAGTTCCTCTTCATCGCCCTCAGAAGCTCTTAACCTTACATTAACATACTCTTCCGCTTCAAGTATTGTTGTCCCAACCATTACTGCCTGTACTGGTGGGTCCAACAATAACAAAGTCGTCAACTCAGTGGCAAGTAATCTCTCAACTTCTGTTAAACTTTCCATGAATACTAGTGGGAGTGGTAAGCCTGTGGCTGGAAGAGTTGTTCAGACATTCACAACAGTTACAAGTCCCACAGAAGGCACCTCTTCTCAACCCTCCATGAGTCATGTCCATATCCCCAGAGGTGCAGCAGTGGTGGCAAACATGGCTGGTAGCCGCACATCCTTAGCCGTCACCGCCAGTGCTGCACAGTAAGTTTAATATTATCCTAAACTGTATTTTTTCTCATATTTTCAGTTGTTTATTGATAATTGTAGTACATGTGATTATAAATGCCTGTATTTTGTCCCTGATAATAATTTATTTAAATCATAGTTGATGATATGAAAGTAATTTGTTTTGTTGCATTAACCATCAACTGTCTAGTTTAGTTTCACATTTTGTTTTCTAATGTTTTGTTTTTATACTTATTCAACTCTATTCAATCCCCAGTGATTATGAATGCCCAGAGCATATTTATTTTTTCAAAACTTTGTGTTGAATCTTTGTTAATAACTCAATTTTTGCTATTCAGGCGGACTACTCCTCAGCAAAATCGCAGCATCCAGCTGTCACAAAGCGCTTGGAACAGAGGAGCTACCAACTCAAAGCTCAGCACCGGCACAACCATCTTCACTAGTGTTGCATCAAACACTAACCCCAAACTCTCTCGATTGCCAGCTTCCCCTCTCGTGACACGTCCCGCTCCTGGAAGCTTACTCACATCTGCCACACCAACAGTTCATGCAGCTCTGCGCTCAACATCAAGCACCTCCAGTGTGGTACGCAATGCAGTCACCACTACTGCTGTTGTGCGCACAAATTCCATATCACGTGTCACAAATGTCACCAATCTCATCACAGCTAACACTGTAGAAGTAATGCGCTCTGTCCCTTCGGGTGTCTCAGTTTCTGGAGTCACATCCAATCCCCGGTTCACAGTTGCAGCTCCCATCAAACCTGTGGAAGGCACAGTATTAGCCAGTGTACCTAACATCACTCGTCCCACTATTGTTGCCACCCCTTCTGCAGTGTCACGCACTGTGCTTACCCAAACCAGAACATCCCTTGGTATGAGTGTTAGACCACATCACACTCAGGGAATTCGCCTTACACAGGCCACCATCGGCCGACCAACAACCGTCACTTCCCTGGCCTTGACGTGTGTTCAACGGCCTGCAGCTCCACTAACAAGCAGCACCACCATCACAACAGCTAAAGTTAGAGGCATTGCAGGTGCTCGGTTCTCACTTAATTCAGGCACCCAACTTCTTCCTAATTCCGAGCCGTCTACCATGGCCCAAAACATAAGAGTCCCAGCACTAGTAAGCACTGCCATCTCAAGTCCCAGCAGCAGCAGTGTTAGTGGCAGCTATGCTACCTCAACCAACATAACAATTACACCTCCTGCGCGGCCTCTCAGTAGTCCTGCAATCACCGTCCCTGGCAGACCTGTGCTCAGTGCTTCCAGGCCGGCTTCCACAGGCCCATCTACTGCCTCAACTGGCCCATCTGTGGCCTCCACAGGCCTATGTTTGGCCTCAACTGGCCCATCTGCAGCTCTCACAGTCACATCTGTGGCCCCGACTGTCCCATCTGCAGGCCCATCAGTGGCCACAGCCAGCCCAACTGTGGCTTCCGTATGCCCAACTGTCGCCTCTACAGGCCCAACTGCGGTTTCAAAGGGGCCACCATCTGGAGCTTCGTTGGTGCGTCCTGCAGGGACCATCGCCAGAGGTTGTGAAGCACCGGTTTTGACTGCACGGACTGATGTTCCGAGGATCAGCAGACCCACTCAACAGTTCATGCACATCTCTGCTACCAATGGACAGGTTTGTCTGGAATTATGATGCCCTCCCTGCGTGGCCTCCTTTTCCTTTCCTCCTATTAATAAAAAAACAAATAAGTGACGAGTGACAGCCAGCCGAAATAAAGTCATTTTCAGGGTCACCACGCCCCAAATCCAAATAATGAAACAAATTCCTTTCTTACATTATGTACGATGCGCATTAAGTGCTGTTAGTCCGAAAAAACTTTTGATTTGATAAATAATTTGTTCATCTGAATTCGTTGAAAAATTTTTATACTAATTATTCATCCACTAGGATGTCTTTTGCAGCGCATCTCTTCTGCTCTTCTCAGGCACACTGCACCATCAGCTGATTTCAGCTCGTACGGTAGTAACAATATTGCGGAATTCTAAATGCACGACACCGACGACCGACCGGAAAATTTTCTCGGCACTCGGCAGACGAATCATAAAATCGCTCTTAGAGACAGTCACATCGCAGGCAATTTTGCTGCTAATTTATTCAACCTAAGTTTCGTTGCCCTCTTCGCATACGTATTCGTTAAAATCTCACGCTAGCCTTGTTTTCCGTCTTGGCTTCAAAAACTTTCATGTTGGTCATTAAATGCTAGGCTCAGATAATTTGTATCGCAGCGCCAAAGTATCGTGTTTACGCTTACCAGATGCTGCGAATAAGCGTGAAAATTAATATATAAGTCTCGATACCTGAATAAATATTAGGATTTAAAACAAAAACATTGCATCAGAGCGATGAAATATCGTTTGGATTTCCGAATAAATGTAGGTTCGGTAGGCAAGTATTTGCTCCTACATCATATGTCAGGCAAAGATATTTAGTTCGGACAACTTTCGCAGGAGCCTTTTGTGAATTATTAGCTTTGTTTTCAATTTAGCGAAGAATGTTGTTGCTTTCACTTAGTTTTGCGTAGAAAGGGTGTAAAATTCGTCCCAAAAGTGTCCGATCGGTCCAATATTGTACGATAGGTATCTCGATTTGATGACTTCCACCAATATTATCTGATTTAACTGTTTAAATATAGGCTTCTTTGCATAACATGATTAACTCGATCATCTCTGAATAATTCATATTGCACGACATTAATTGCATAATTCTAAAATATCATGATTCGCTCTTTAATTTAAGCGAGAACATTTTGCCAACAATAGTTGACCATTCAAATAGTTGACTTCAAACTATCGCCAATCATGAAAAGATCCGGTCAAATGACACGAGTTTAGATCTGTGAACAAGGCACGAAAAGGAAAAGAATCGGCGACAGGCCACATCAGGCCCACACTTCAGCGCCGACATCACTATGTTATGTTATGTTATTACTTATTAGTTATTACGAAATAAGTTCATCTTTTTGCATCAAAACCAAGTACATACAACATTTCAGAACCTCATTTTGGAAAATAATTTGAAATACATAACATAATTAACTCGATCTTCTTTTAATAACTTATATTGTGCGTAGATGCAATTCACGGCATTAAGTACATAATTCTAAAATATCATGATTCGCTCATTAATTAATCGAGAAAATAATGCCAACAATAGTTGACCTTTACGAATTAAGTTCATTTTTCGGCATTAAAACCAAGTGCACAGAACATTAGTGGAAAAGAATTCAAATAATTCGCATCGTGGAAAATAATTCAAAATGCAGAGTCTACAACGGAAGTTGGTACGCCTGTTAGCGTGTTTCAGTTCAAGCCTGGGATTCAAGCTTAGTCGTGGGGTGTCAGTGAATGTAATGAGTCCGACTGTGCGGCGTGCTCTGTTATTTGTATTTTATTATGTAAGTAAAGTCCCATGTCAAACGTAAGTAGGTTAAAATTTTACAAGATAATTGTATACTTTATCAATATAGATGTTTTTTAAGAAAAACTGCATTAAACCAATTTATAGAAATTGGTTGACAGCCAACGTTTCCCAATGATCGACGGCATAATCAGTAGAAAGTTGTTAATTCTACGTTACTACCTAGTAGAGTAAATTAAAAATCTTATTATGTTGATTCTATAATGTGGTAATGTCATATTGTAGATAATATATAGACAATTTCTAATTTTTTTGTCTGCAATGGGAACACTGCTTAGTGAAATGAACAATGCCACGCTACGTAGGCAGGGTACCTACCTAGCCAGCTGTGCGTGCGTGATGACGAATCGCGGGTTATTTTTACATGTAATGCAATATGCCTAAACGCCAATAATCCTTTGAAAGTTGAAACTCTAAATTTGGTTTTGATTTAGTACAGCAAGATTGTTTTTTCAGTTAATAAAACCAGTGGCCAGTCACCAATTCCAAGCTGTGTGCCAAAATTAAAATTTTATTAATTAAAAGCTTAATAACTGTTAATTAAAAGCCTAATTAATTAGTGCTCAATATTCAATAGTGTTCTAATTCAAAGCCGTGTCGTATTCCAATACAGCTCACACAGCGATCGGAATTTGAACACGTGGATGTCGGAATTACGTATTAGTACAATTTGAAGCGCGGTCAGAATACGTCTCACCACGTGCAGCCGAATATAGTCACACACAGTGTTGGAATATAGGAATTTGGTAGGTTTGCATTCTAAAGGCTTTTAAATAAATATGGCAACATTTTGTGATGTTTCATTGTTGCTGGTGTGTCATGTGGTGTTTTGAGAGTCGCGTAAAGCAAACAGAACTCGAGTAACGCATACGTTTTTTATAGCTTTTCATTTCTCAATGCGTCCTTAATGTGTCGGAATATACCGCGTTTACCCTACCCAATTTCTGTCCAAATTTCATACCCAATAATCCTTTGAAAGTTGAAACTCTAAATTTGGTTTTGATTTAGTACAGCAAGATTGTTTTTTCAGTTAATAAAACCAGTGGCCAGTCACCAGTGCATCATGCATGATGCATGATTGACTATTGAGTCTTGAGATGCTAATCTCAATTCCTAACTTTTTGTTAGCCCTAGAGGGTGGAATTTGAAAATAATTTTTCTTACTTTCAAATATTTAAATATGGATTAGATAGTCATTAGTCACTCTTGACTCTTTGATTCAAAAATTTTTAAGAAAAAATAATTTTTCTTAATTTCAAATATTTAATTATGGATTAGATAGTCATTAGTCACTCTTGACTCTTTGATTCAAAAATTTCACCCAAGTTATAATATCCAACTGATTATTTCATCATATCCAGCTGATACTTGAGTGAGTACTGAGTAGTGAGTAGCTAGTTCTGATTTCAGTCCATGTGAATCAAAAAGTGTGTTTCTATTCATAATTCATCTGCTAACCATACCCAATTTCTTTCTCTTGCCCTGTTTATCTATTGCCTTAATTGTAGACAGGGCTTTCTATTTCCAAAGCTGTCAGATTTTCAGTTGGGCAAAGGGCAAAGGTGGCATGAATCAACTTCTGACTTGTGTCTAACATTGACCATAAATGCTTGATAATATTCAGGTCTGGTGATTGTGGTTGCCAAGTGAGATGCTCAACTTCAGTAAAATGTTCCTTATGCCATTTTTCATCAATTTCAGCTGTATGGGCATTATCATCTTGAAAAATGGCATTCCCCCTCCGGAAACAGTGCTCGAACCATTGGGTGAACTTGGTCCGACAAAATTCCTAAATATTTGCAGCTGTTAATTTCCAGGACTCTTTGAAAGTCAGAGAGGTTTGCCATGTATGTATAGATTATAGGTTAGGTTATATAGACAAAAATTTACTGAAAATACCTGTACAAGACAAATATATCAATTAACAACAAAAATTAACAATAAAACATAAAAGTATGTCACATTCATTGTTTATGACATATTCAAAATTTACAATAACAAAATGTCAGTCATTTCCTTTATTTTGTCTAAACCCATCATAATATATTAATATATATATATTTGTATAGTTAGGCAGAAGTTTTTCTTTTATGCAAGTTTTATATAAGACCAGAGCGTATTTCTTATTAATGATTTTCTTATTAATTTTCTCGATGCTGCGAATATATATATATATATATGTATGTATATGTTAGTATTAGATGGCAGAATAAGTTTTAGACACGGGTCATTTAAATTTTCAGGCTCAAACAATTACCATCAAATGGGGTCATAAGGGATGGGCGGGGTTATAAGGGAATGAAATGTTGTAGAAATAGAAATGTTGTAGCAGCTGAACTAATCAAAATATTGCAAAACTAAAAAATAGTGGCGTAAACTTCAACATTTTTACCATCTATTATGTATAAAGCTAGTTAAGAAATCCTACATTTACTACCGTCAAACGGGATAAAAAGGAATGGTTTTTAGCGTTTTTGTTAATAACTTCTTACCATGAAACATTTCAGAAACAAGTTTAGGCTCATTTTATAGCTCTGCAAGGGCTACCGAATGGCATCTTCAAAAAAATTCCATATGCTATTTGTAAGATGCCAGACGCAAAATAAAACCATCCCGATTTACCCCTGGGAACGGGGTAATCCGGGACACTTGCAATAAAAGTTAATTTTAAAACATTTGAAGCATGCAGAGGGTACTCATCCATTACTAACAGTACTCTGAAGTCCTCCTCTTTCATTGTAGATGATGTAGTAAATGTAATCAATATTCTTTGTTGTTAATCAATTTTTTTGTTAACTGGAGCCTTTGCTAACTGAGGTTCTACTGTAAATGCATTTTTAAGGGTGTCCCAAATTAACCCGGGGGGGTGTCCCTTTTTACCCCATCCTGCGGAAATGGCTGCCATTTTTTTTAATGAGATGGGCAAATTCTGTCAATTACGTTTTCAAGCTGCCACCTGGGTGCAACTTTTATGTAAGTAAAATTTTTTAATATGGCAAATATTTTTTTGCTCCAGACCTTAGCAGAGGTACTTTTCCAAAATCACACTTTTCACACTTTTTTTCAACAATTTTTTAGAGATAGTCAATGTTTGATTTCTTGACTAGCTTTATACATAATAGATAGTAAAAATGTTGTAGTTTACACCACTATTTTTACTTTTCAATATTTTGATTAGTTTAGCTGCTACAACATTTCTATGAAATGTGGGATGCACGTCCCTATTTACCCCGCCCGTCCCTTTTTACCCCGTTTGACAGTATCTAAAAAATTGCTGAAAAATTGTGAAAAGTGTAATTTTGGAAAAGTACTTCTACTAAGGTCTGGAGCAAAAAAAAATATTTGCAGTATTAAAACATTTTACTTCCATAAAAGTTACGCCCCCGGGGTAAAAAGGACACCCCTAAAAATGCATTTACAGTTCAACCTCAGTTAGCAAAAAAATGATTAACAGCAAAGAATTTTGATTGCGTTTACCTCACTCAGCAAAAAAAATTTATGTATAAAAAAATTAATGCATTGTCGGTCATCACAGAATTGTGCACAGAAAGTCATATATAGAATTGTGCACTGGGCATTATAGAATGAATAGTAATTAACCTAAACTACAATTTATTTCTCCAAACATATGATGGTTGTTACTAAAACATTCATTTCTGTTTCAGGTATGTTTTTTTACAATCTTTTTTATAATGAAATTACAAGCCATCCTGTAAGCTTACAGATACAGAAGAAATGCTACATGGCTGCTGAAATGAAGCTTGCAGTGGACAAGGTCATTGTAAATGCTCAATGGCATGTTTATGGATACGGTAATATCACATCAATACGGTAATGAATGAATATGGTGATAAATAAATAAAGGATAAACAAGTAAAAAACACAGAAAATTCCATTTATTCTACATCTACATCATCTACAATGAAAGAAGAGGACTTCAGAGGACTGTTAGTAATGATGAGTACACTCTGCCTGCCTCAAACATTTAAAATTAATTTTTATTTCAAGTGTCCCAGATTACCCCGTTCCCAGGGGTAATTCGGGATGGTTTTATTTTGCGTCTGGCACCTTACAAATGGCATATCAAATTTTTTGAAGGTGCCATTTGATAGCCCTCGCAAAGAGCTATAAAATGAGCCTAAACTTGTTTATGAAATGTTTCATGGTAAGAAGTTAACAAAAACGCTCAAAACCGTCCCTTGTTACCTCATTTGACAGTATCTCCAGATGACATTGGTTGATCACAATACAGGTTTAAGAGTACTACTTCTTCATTTAAGAAAATACTTCCATCTCAGGACCCGCAATGAATTCAACAGGTTCTGTGAGTGACACAAGGAGCCAGCAATTTATGGTGAGTAAAGCTAGAGTATAGACCTGTATTTTGCATGTTTCAATTCAAGTTTAATTTAGCTAGTAAAAAAATGGCATCATTTATAAAATAAAAAGTGGTCTAAGTTACCCCATTTTACGGTAACTATGGAATTGAATAGCTGTTTATCCTGCCACCTGAGAAAAGCTTGCAACTAGATCAGGTCTCAAAGCATTACAGTCAAGCGATGAAGCATTACAATCAAAATCTGCAATGAATTCAATAGGCTCAATGACACTCTTGGCAACAACTTGAAACTCAATGAGATTGTCTCTCGCACTGTGCTGGAGGAACCCACCAGCATTGTTATCTTGCAGTGGCCCAACATCATCTGAACAGCGATAGCTGAAGCCCTTATTCTTACCCAAGCTATCCATCTCATAAATACCGGATTTTCTAAGCTTTGAGATTGTTTCAGAGTTATTTTCATAGTTCAAAATTTTTGTGTTGCATTATATTTATGTGTATATTGTACTTAATTCCACCTAAATTTCTGTATTCATCCCTCCTATAACTTGAAAATGAATGTTTTTACATTCAAAATGTTGCTTATAAATTGAAATTACTTCCTTAGATCTGTATTCTGATCAACCAGTGTCTTCTGGAGATTATAGTTTGACCCTGCAAATTTAAATCACTTATGTTTAAACAAATGTATATATGTATATATTAGTATAGGTTGGCAAAAGTTGTTCCTTTAAGCAGGTTTCGTTGAAGACTAGAGAATTCGTTTTATTGGCCATTTTCTTATTTGTTTTTTCAATAGATCAAACAATATTTTTCGTTTGCAGTGGTAAATCGAAGATCAGCATACCGATGGACATTTTTATTTCTTTAACAACAATTCAAATGTATCAATCATTCATTATCAAGTTAGAAGGCGCATTGAGTGATGAAATTTTGGTTAACATAAGTACAAAAAGATGTAAATAGGTTACTACTCAAAAATCAAAATATATAGAAATAATTGCAAAATCACAAAAATATTGAGAGAATCAAGAATTAAAGCACCAAAAATTACTCTGAAAACAGTCTCAAAGTTCTGATAAATCCAGTAGTGTGTAGGTTGATAGATGGGGTCCTATCCTTAATGATGAGGGCCTCAGCTATCGCTAGTCGGTTGGTGTCGGGGCATCGCATGACAACGCTGGTGCACTAATCCATTACCGTATGGGTGATGGTCTCATTGTGGGCTTCCATCAGGTGGTTCCTTGGTCCACCAGACTGAAGGTGGCGTGTGAGTCGTCAGCTTAATGTCGTAGTTGTGAGCCCAATGTAGTCCATATTGGAGAGAAGTCTACAACCTTCTCTATTGCAGGAAAATTTATAGACTCTTGGAAAGTTTTGATTTTTGAGTAGTATCCTATTTAATACATGTTTTTGTACTTATGTCAACCAAAATTTCATCACTCAATGCGCCTTCTAACTTGATAATGAATGATTGATACATTTGAAATGTTAAAGAAATAAAAATGTCCATCAGGACGCTGATCTTTGATTTACCACTGCAAATGAAAAATATTATTTGATCTATTGAAAAACCAAATAAGAAAATATGTATATATATTATATATGTATATGGTTGATATTCTTTAGTCCAATAGCCCCTAGTCCCATTAATTAATAGAAAATTTTAATTTTATTGCATTTCATTCCAGGTCAGTCCAAGTGATCAATAAATATTTGAAAAATAATGGTTTCCCATTTAATTTCTGCCGTTAGTTTTATTCCATGTGTGTACCCAATATACAGCACATCCTTTCAATTACTGATTTGGCACTATTTCCAAAAGACCATCCCATAGCTATTTTTGTGGTATATATATTAAATTAATGCTATTAATTTGTTTTGGTACACATATTGTTTGCGAATCATGATGGCTAATCCAGTTCTGAGTGTGTCTTNTTCAAAGGGGCCACCATCTGGAGCTTCGTTGGTGCGTCCTGCAGGGACCATCGCCAGAGGTTGTGAAGCACCGGTTTTGACTGCACGAACTGATGTTCCGAGGATCAGCAGACCCACTCAACAGTTCATGCACATCTCTGCTACCAATGGACAGGTTTGTCTGGAATTGTGCAATTGTTTTTAGCGCATCAAGGTATAATTATATACTGCCTATGCAATTGTAATGACTGACATTGTTGGTTGCAAAATGTTCCTTGTGCTTTTTAAAGCTCGTAGAAAGATTATGTTCTCTAAATTTGCATGAAACTACTTCTGCTACTAACCACTGCAGTTCTGCCACTGCTTTGGCTTCAACGAATTCAGCCCATTAATGACCATCAACTTGCAGAAAATTGGCATGAGCGGCGGTGTGAGCAACGTCAGCGTTATTGGTGGAGGTAGCAACGCTATACGCTGCACGGCACTCAACAGTGCCACTGCTAATGGTGGCACTGCTAACTCCATTGCGGTGCGCATTTCTCCTGGTACTGCCCCTGCTGGCTTCCATTCCACCACTGCTGTGCAGGTCAATAAATCAGCTTAGCAGTTCATCTACTACAAGTACTTGTAACCTTTAGAATTAGTATCTTTATACTTAAGCAGGAATTTCTATCGTCCAGGCGAGCACATTACAATAGTTGTATTTGTCCAAAATTCAACAAGTTTCTAGTACAGCCTTAGTGTCCTATTTAAGTTAGCTTGCACTGTGTGTCAGCGGATAAGTCCACGTGAATAATCAATTCTTGAACATAAGTGATCAAATTCAAGTTGAACTCATTTTTAGCGCATTTTCTTATTTATGGAAAAATGCACTATTGTGCTCGCCATGTCCGTCTGTCTGTCCGTCCATGACTTCACGTTTTCGTTGACGAGAAAATTTGCTCTCTGTCGCTCACTTCAGTGAGTACTGAGTTATATTTTTTTAAGTGTTAGCCAAAGAGCTGAGTTATGCCATCACTCCCTCGTCAATCTGTCTTAGTTCCATGCACATTCAGGCCTGGTTTCACTGGCTTCAAAAAACTCCAGTAAAGATTGTTTCATTTATTCAGAGCAATTCACTTCTGCAAGGTAAGATTTTATGTTGTTCATTTAATCCTGATATTTATGTTAATAATAACCTTTTTAACTAAACTCTGGGTTTCCAAGGTGAGTGTCGTTTCTTTTGCTTGCTGTTTCTGCTTACATATTTGCATCTTGCAGTTTATTTTAATGAATCGTTAATTCACGCGCTTTCTTATAAACTCACTGGTGCCCCTAAAATCTTTCTGTTTACCAGAAGTTGGGCAGAAGTCATATTGGCAGCTCATCCAAATTGCAATACAAATTATCTTTTATAAATCACCGATATCTTTTATCTTTTAGATAAAAGATAATCTTTTATCTTAATCTTTTAAAATTCGATGAAACTTCAATACGTTATATACNACTGTCCCATCTGCAGCCCCCACAGGCCTATCAGTGGCCACAGCCGGCCCAACTGTGGCTTCCGTATGCCCAACTGTCGCCTCTACAGGCCCAACTGCGGTTTCAAAGGGGCCACCATCTGGAGCTTCAGTGGTGCGTCCTGCAGGGCCCACCGTCAGAGGTTGTGAAGCACGGACTGAGGTTCCGAGGATCAGCAGACCCACTCAACAGTTCATGCACATCTCTGCTACCAATGGACAGGTTTGTCTGGAATTTTGCAATTGTTTTTAGCGCATTTTCTCATGGAAAAAATGCACTATTGTGCTTGCCATGTCCAATATTGTGCTTGCCAGTCCGTGCCATGAAGTCACAGATTGTACATCCGTGACATCACGTTTTCATCAACGAAAAAATGTGCTCTGTCACTCACTGCAGTGAGTAGTCAGTAATGAGTTATATTTTTTATAACTCAGGTTGTGTGAGTACCAGCTATGTAGATAATTTCTCCAACTGGAAAATTTCAAAGTCAAAATTTGTACTTTGAAATTTTAAATAATCTTTTTAATTGAGAATGGCAACTGTTATATCTATTGTCAATTTGTTGATATTCTTTTTTTTTTGTCTGATTTATTTTAGCCAGATATATTTTAATTTTGATGCAACAGCTTGCCTAACAGAAGTTATGAGTTTAAGTGATAAACTTGATAGCAATAGGTGTTAGGATACTTCATTATAATGCAATTAAACAAATTAGTCTGCTCAAGTTATAATTGTATACTGCCTATGCAATTGTAATGACTTACATTGTTGGTTGCAAAATGTTCCTTGTGCTTTTACCTAGCCAGCTGTGCGTGCGTGATGACGAATCGCGGGTTATTTTTACATGTAATGCAATATGCCTAAACGCCAATAATCCTTTGAAAGTTGAAACGCAATATTTGGTTTTGATTTAGTACAGCAAGATTGTTTTTTCAGTTAATAAAACCAGTGGCCAGTCACCAGTGCATCATGCATGATGCATGATTGACTATTGTCATTGAGTCTTGAGATGCTAATCTCAATTCCTAACTTTTTGTTAGCCCTAGAGGCTAGAGGGTGGAATTTGAAAATAATTTTTCTTACTTTCAAATATTTAATTATGGATTAGATAGTCATTAGTCACTCTTGACTCTTAGATTCAAAAATTTCACCCAAGTTATAATATCCAGCTGATTATTTCATCATATCCAGCTGATACTTGAGTGAGTAGCTACATAGTGGCAAAGCAGAGAGTTTTTTAGACTCTCCCTCAAGTTCATTTTATCTCGGCAGTATTGTTAGAATAAGATAAGATGTAGACACCTTGCTAACTTAATATTGTACATATTGTCATCCGTAACAATGGTCAGTAACAACGGTCAGTAACAACAAAAATCATAGTCAACTATAACAAACATGATTTAGTTTAGTTTAGTTGATTTTTTATATTTAAACGAACACTGGGCCTTATTTTACGTACATGTTGACATCAAACTAATAAACTGAAACTCGGACCAGCATCACCTATTACCCTACCTACATTTAGGGAAGCCTCAGTCAAATATAAAATCGTCAGCACAATATTAAACGAATAGTATCACTCAGACATCCCTCAGTCTCCCCTCAAACTTCCCTCAGTCTCCAACTTCCCTCAGCATGCATATTCGTAAAATGCTAGGCTCTGAAAATTTGTATCACATCTCCAAAGTTTTGTGTTTACGCCTACCAGATGCTGCCAATAAGCGTGAAAATTAGTATATAAGTCTCGACACCTGAATAAATTTTAGGATTAAAAAAACATTGCATTAGAGCGATGAAATATCGTTTAGGTTTCCGAATAAATGAAGGTTTGGTAGTCAAGTTTTCGCTCCTACATCATATCATTCATATGTCAAGCAAAGATATTTAGTTAGTAAACTTTCGCAGGAGCATTTTTTTTGTTCGTTTTAAATTTAGCGAAGATTGTTGTTGCTTTCACTAAGTTTTGCGTGAAAATGTGTAAAATTCGTTCCAAAAGTGTCCGATCGACCCAATAGTGTCCGAAAGGTATCTCTGTTTAGTGACTTACACCAATATTCTTTAATATAACTCTTTAAATATAGGCTTCTTTGCATAATATGAATAACTTGATCAACTTTGAACAATTTATATTGTAAGTAGATACAATTCACGACATTAATTGCATGATTCTAAAATATCACGATTCGCTCAATAATTAATCGCGAAAATTTGGCCAAAAATAGTTGACCATTACGAATTAAGTTCATTTTTGGCATTAAAACCAAGTGCACAGAATATTTCTGAATCGAATCGTGGAAAATAATTCAAATGGAGAGTCTATGTGTCACCGGATAAGTCTTATGTGAATAATCAATTCTTGAACATAAGTAATCGAATTCAAGTTGAACTCATTTTTAGCGCATTTTCTCATTTATGGAAAAAATGCACTATTGTGCTCGCCATGTCCGTCTGTCCGTCCGTCTGTCCGTCCGTCTGTTCGCCTGTCTGTCCGTCTGTCTGTCCGTCCGTGACTTCACGTTTTCGTCGACGAGAAAATGCGCTCTCTGTCGCTCACTGTAGTGAGTACTGAGTTATATTTTTTTAAGTGTTAGCCAAAGAGCTGAGTTATGCCATCACTCCCTCGTCAATCTGTCTTAGTTTTATGCACATTCAGGCCTGGTTTCACTGGCTTCAAAGAACTCCAGTAAAGATTGTTTCATTTATTCAAAGCAATTCACTTCTGCAAGGTAAGATTTTATGTTGTTTATTTAATCCTGATATTTATGTTAATAATAACCTTTTTAACTAAACTCTGGGTTTCCAAGGTGAGTGTCGTTTCTTTTGCTTGCTGTTTCTGCTTACATATTTGCATCTTGCAGTTTATTTTAATGAATCGTTAATTCACGCGCTTTCTTATAAACTCACTGGTGCCCCTAAAATCTTTCTGTTTACCAGAAGTTGGGCAGAAGTCATATTGGCAGCTCATCCAAATTGCAATACAAATTATCTTTTGTAAATCACCTATATCTTTTATCTTTTAGATAAAAGATAATCTTTTATCTTAATCTTTTAAAATTCGATGAAACTTCAATACGTTATATACTATCATTTGTTTACCCTACAGTCGTGTATAACTGCCTTTTTAATTCTGCCACACTTCTCGGTAATATCAAAGTAATAAGTAAGTATAGAAGTTAAATGAGTCTTCTGGAATAATTTAAAATCGTTGGTTAGCGGTGAATGGCCGCAATGATGGAGCACTGGAGGAGATACCCTTGACTGTGGTTGTGCTCTATAGTAACAGGGGATTTCTGTGCCGTTGCCCCGGCAGTTGACCCTGGCACCAGAGTCCGACCTCTGCACCTGCCGGGTTGAGTGGGCTACACAGCTACTTAACAACTCAACTAAGTAGCTACACAGCTACTTAGTTCTACATCTGCTTAGTTCAGGTGCAAGCAGCTCGAAGCAAGGGCTTATGAAGGCTGAACGTGCTGTTGTCAGTGCGGCTTCTACCTACGGTAAAACTGAAGCTCTGCTACGGTAACATTGAGGTTATGATAGTGCTGCTGCAGTAGATTATTTCTTGTTAGTCTATCATGTTTTTGTTGTTATTAGTCTACCCTGTTTTGTAGACGGTTTCAAGCATTGTTATTTAATATGGGCTGAAAACTTGCATCGTCTTGATGATGTTCTATATAGCCATAAAGATACCACCACTAGACCGCACCCCGACGGTCGGTTTTTGCTCGGGCATCTGATTACAACTATGCTACTTGAGCATTGTACTAGTTACTTGATCTATTTTGTTCTTGTTACATTTGAATGTACAACAAATCAATGTTATTTTTTTTAAATTTACTTTCATTCTCTGGCGTCAGCTCCCTTCATCCTTGTCATTGCACCGTTGAAGTTTATGGTAAATTTGTCAGAAAAACATATACTGGCTAAGTCGAGTGCCCTTTGTATTGTTGCCTTATCTAAATATGGATTACTTCTTATTTGGTGAGTTGTCAGCTCACTTACAAACTCAGCTCTTCTCTCACTTTCCATTCACTCGTGTACTCAAAAATTGTGAAATTGTGGTGGAATGATGCTCAGTTCTCTTGCTTTTTGGTGACACGGATGTTTAGGCTCATGCCTACCTGGATCTTAGGCTTGATATTCTTCATTGAGTTATTAGTGCATGTAAATTAGCATGCACGATTGGTTGGAAAATGGAAGCTGACAAGTACTTAATATATTTTGTTAGTTTGTTAGGGCGTCTATCTATTATACCGTACAAGGTTATCCTAAATGATGGACCCAATTTAACAAATTCGTATTTATTTAAGTATTAATTCAAAATTAGTAATTCATACACCAATGGACAGAGAAAGATTCGAAGTTTTTTTATATATTTAAATGTTCAATATGATGCACTGCACATCTCAACGGCAGCCAAACTCGTCCCACACACGAGAAAGCATATCTTCTGTTACTGAGGGCACCGTAGCAGTGATACGGTTCTTCAGATCAACCAGAGTTGCTGGTAGAGGCGGGACGTAGACAGCTTCCTTGACGTAACCCTATAAGAGATAGTCACATGAGATCAGGTGATCTCGGTGGCCAGAAGTGTAGAACCTGATATTCATTTCCTATGCGTCCCACCTAACACTCAGGAAGGACTGATTCAAAAAGTTTCGGACACAGGACATATTGAACGTTTAATGTAGGTAAAAAAAACTTGCAATCTTTCTCTTTCCATTCAAGTATAAATTTGTACATGAATAAATAAGGAATTATCAAATTGGATCTATCATATAGAATAACCATGTATTTATCTTTGGTGCTGAAATTTTATGTTCAGTAATAGATTAGGCATTTGAGTTAGGAATGTGAATTTCACAAGTTTGCTTATAAAATTGATACGTACCTGATTGTTGATTGGGCTTTTAGAACATAATTTTCGACCAATTTTGGTGAATCTCATTTGGCAAGAACGGAACTCTCGAAAAACCGAGATTCTAACCCTGAACAACGCTGAGTCGAGCTTCTAGTTTCAGCCACAACGCGGTTCTGCGTTGAAGTGCACACGATATTGTCTTGATGCATTCAGCACTGATGAGCATTTTCAATTTGGTGTAGTGCCGTATTATTGTAGACATTTTGTGCAATCTAACGAGTCGGTCGTATTCAAGAATACATTTGAGACATCGGTTATTGTGTAACTCTTGGTGGTGAACCTCAAGTTTCTTAGCATAGCCATGTTTATTTTCATAATCATGTTTGAATTTTTATTTTGTTTAGAACCCTGCTAAGTTGTCTTCGAAGCTGAAACCGGAAGGTGTGCCGTGGGTATGTAAACACATGAGTAGGTCTGAATGATTAGAATCTATAGTCTCACTCATTGGAAAATTAATGGCAGTTTGATTTGTATTTTGCCTCATTTCATCTTGAAAGATTGGTGAGCATTAATGATCGTTTTCTCCACTCCTACCATGTAAACTTGCTTTGGCGTTATGAAGTTCTCTTAATAAAAGGCTGTCATTGGTTGCTTGCACTGACTTCTTGCTGGTGCTGGGGATTTTTTTACATCGCACTTGTTCAAAAATTCTTGCTATTTTCATTGGGTAAAGTTGTTTATAAGTCTTGAGGATGCTTCTTGTTATTGAAACATTCTCAATGCGAGAGTAGGTAGTTTTAATCATGCATATGTTTGTGCCGTGCAGGTTGGTGGAGGTGCAGCAAGTTCAGGCGGTGTCGTGACCAACCGGCCTGGCAGCAGACTTGCAGACTACCATGCAGGTGAGGCAGCAGATTTAAAGTTGAAGAATTCAGTGGATATTATTTCAGTATTTAGGCTTCGCTTCCGACACTGGAACGACACGGGCGTCTTGAGTGCATCAGCACGACCAGAGAAGGGCTCCTTGAAAGCAATTCATACGCTTTTTACCTTTCAAGCTGCTATGTTCTATGTTTATACTGCCTACAAATTAGTAAATCAAATTTGCAATTTCTCCGATTAACTCTCTTGCTATTGGGAATGGTTTTTGTTGACCATGGATCGTAGATCATTGATGAACATACAAAACTTGAGTCAAAACTACTTCTGTCATACATATTACGTAAATGGGTTTCTTTTCTGTTGCAGTTTTTCACGATGATCAATTCAATGAAAATTTCATTCATAGTCCGAGACCAAACGGTTCCTCGTTCTAATTAAGTGTTGATAATGATTGGAAACTCGTTAATAATGACAGGAAACTTATACTTGAAATGGCTGTATACAGGCGGCGGTACATCTGGCAAGCCCTTTGGTGTTGTGGGTGGCGGAGGCTCAGCAGCAGCGGCGGCTGCAGTCCTGCCCCCCGGCACCACCATCACCCCCACCATCCTGGCCCCTTCAGGCAGCTCTTCCAGTAACAAGCACGATCCCCCAACCGTTCTTCTTCAGCGCCCCCTTCATGGTACTTGCGAACATATACCTGCTCAAGAGAAATGTGTGAGACTTTGTCCAAATAACGATGCACGTTTTGCCTCTAGGGCATATCGGTGCTAGCTAGGTACATGCAATTGTTTTTACTATTTGGACAATATGACACATTCATTTTTCTGAATGTAACTGTAAAAAGGCCTTAGGTTAATTTATGTTATAATATCAAATTCACTTCCTATATCCCCTAAAGGTCGACTCTCTGGAACTAGTTGAATAGATACTTCTAAGCAATGTATTGAGCTTATTAAACTGTATTAGTGAATAATTACTTGAAATAAAATTTGGAAACAAGTTTTTTATTTTACTGTGTGTTGACTTGTATACAGATTTTCTATAATGATTCACATTAAATGACTAAGTTCCAAGTGAATTCTTCGGAGTATTTATACCGAATTTTTTATTTTCCGTGACAAGTAGCAATTATTATTAGTTGGTCTAACATTCCTTATATTATCAGGTAGTTCTGCTAATGCGCCCGCTTCAACACAGCATCAACACACTGACAAGTCTGCATCAGTAAGTAGCAGTGTAACTTGTAGCTCTATTATTTATGCATAATACATTAAGAATTACTCATTTAGTGTCACGATATCGAGCACTTGTCTGCTTGGGGATTTCATAGTACAATGATGAAGAAATATATCGTGTGATTAGCGTTGTACAAACCATAGAATTTATGCAAGATATCGAACTATTCACTAATGAAAAATTCTTCAGGAGAAAGAAATGTTTCAACTAACGTGAAATGTTTCAACTAACGTGAAATGTTTCAAATAACTTGAAATGTTTCAACTAACGTGAAATGTTCAAACTAACGTGAAATGTTCAAACTAACGTGAAATGTTTATATAATGTGAAATGTTTTAAATATGTCGCTGATGCCCTGCAGTGCGTTGTCCGAGGAGGCGGTGCTGTTCAAGGCGCAGGCAATCGCCGTCAACGCGGCGCAGGCGCGGCCGCGTCCAACGACCTCAGCGCCGCCCAGTCCGCGCAGGGCGGCGCCCCTGCCAAGCCTGCTGCGTCGCCGCGCCCCACCATGCTCAGGAAGAGCTCCGAGTTCGACGGGTACGATAAAAATACTATAATGTAATGAAGAACATTTATTTAATGTTGCGTTTGGTTTTATTTCTTTACTTATCAGCCATGCTCAGGAAGCGCTCCGAGTTTGACGGGTACGATAAAAATACTAGTATTTAATGAAGAAACATTTATTTAATGTTGCGTTTGGTTTCATTTCTTTACTTATCAGCCATGCTCAGGAAGCGCTCCGAGTTTGACAGGTACGGTATGATAAAAATACTAGTATTTAATGAAGAATTTTTCATTTAATGCTGCGTTTGGTTTCATTTCTTTACTTATCTGCCACGTTCAGGAAGTACTCAAAGCTTGATGATAACTGGCGCTGTGTAGCAGGCATTCGATGTGGGAGCATATTTTTTATCATGTGTATTCCCGCAGCAGCGACCGCCGCTGTCGGATTGCCAGAGGCTGAAAAAAAAAAAACATTCATATCAAATATACATTACTCAGCATATTAAGTTGAAAGTTTTTTCGTGTCTACTTCATCACAAAAAGTTTTGTATGATGATTGACTTCTGTATCAATACCTATATTAATTCATTGCAAACTGTCACAGCGGGAACAGCACAAAGGCCTGCCGTAACCTGACAGGGGCGCTGTCGTCGTCCTCGAGTGGATCTGCTTCGTCTCCACCGTCGCCCAAACGACCTGACTCTGGCGGCCACAGCGGCGCGTCCACAGGCTCCCTCACCCTCTCTGCCGACTCGTCTCCTGGTCAGTTCACGCTCAGGTCACTCCCGATTCACGTTCAGGTCACACTCAATTCACGCTCAGGTCACTCCCGATTCACGTTCAGGTCACACTCAATTCACGCTCTACTTTAAATTTTTTAGGACTACATAGGCACAACTAAACCTACACTTGATGCGATTTTAACGTTGTAATTTAACGAGAATTAATGTAATTGTAACGAGAATTAATGCACTTGAATTTTCTCTGAGCCATTTACTTGGTTATGCATAAGCTTTGGGTGTGCTGCAGTCTTCCTACCTGCAAGCTGCCTCTTGAACGTTCATGCTTTCTCAATTACGAACATTATGATAGTTTCTTTATGCTTTCTGAATGATCTGGAAAACTTGGAAGAAAAACAAACAAAAGACAAATCTGAAGCGTTTTCATAGCGTTGCCGGTTTCCAATACTTAGTGAAAAATTAAATAATTAAATCATTGAATATGCATATCTAACGAGACTTGGGTAGAGAATGATTTATGCAGTTGAATTTCTCAATGCTAGTTCGTTTGAAGCTTGTCCTAATTTTTTTGTGAATTGGGTCTTCTTGTTAGCTGTTAGTCGAGCGATCATTTTATTGTGTCTTTTAGTTAGTTAAGAAACAATTTTAACATGTTATGTAAGAAGATATTGGAAAACCTACGTATAAAACATGAATGAAAGTTAACAAAAGAATCAAGATCGTCGAAAAAATAGTCAACATACATCAAATAGATCACTGTTGCATTAATAAAACTTTCTTTTCTCATTTAATTCATATTCTTGGATCCTTTAATTAAGAAAATCAAGCATTTCCAGGTTTGCTCATTGAGGAGGTGGACACTACAGAAGAAGCTCGAGTGCCAATGATTGCTGCTGTTGCTCCTCCACCTCTCCTTGATGGCATCTCCCCCAGGAAGAAACCTAGAAAACAAAAACTGTGAGTGTTCTCCTACGTAACGCGATTTATTATTTCTGATATAAATGTTACTTTTGTACATTGTTGTTTCACTTCGTGGTTTATTTTGATGATGCATTTAATTGGTGAATTCACACAACTTGCAGGACAGGCAATGAACTGCAAAATGCGCCGCACTCCAGTGATGACGACGAAGCGCCGACACCTAGCCATAAACGCTTCAAGAGAGACACGGGTGAGTTTGCTCACTTAAAGTGTATTCATTACTAAAATCATTATTTTGTTGAGTGTGACGGGTACATTTTAATAACTACGTCTGTTTGTGATACATCTATGTGGAGCGAAAACGAGCGATAGGTGTTGATTTGATGTTTAAATGGAGAAATAAATTATTGAATGAAATATTATGTTGCAAAGGATGTTGGTTCAAGGCGGTAATCACGATAACGGAAGACGCGGGATTTTAAACAAAAATTTACTCACAGATCACGAGGATGTCCCTGATGGTTGTCACGTGTGGTCTTCAGACTCCTGCCAATCCCGGGTGCCTTCTTTGTCAAGTTATAGTCGCTACCACGCGTTGGGGTCGACAGGTCTCGCGAAGAACAACGGCATCAATTCTTTCCGGAACTCCTTAACATCATCGGCCCGTGGGTCTCCAGCCCGAATTTCTCTCAATAACAGAACCTCGAGCGACTCAACATCTACGTCCTCATCTGCTGCTGCTCTTTCCCACGTCGTATTGCCACCTAATGTTATCAAAACCCCGCGTAAAAATTATAGTAATATTTCTGGCAGCAATGCAAACGTGGAGAACAATTTCCATGGAGATGTCAGTTCCAGGGCCCATAACAAAAGCCCACCTGAGTCCTCTCCTGAACCTACGTATCGCAATAAGAGGAAGCACATGAGCCTCCTTAATTCCTACGTTCGGACGCATTTGCCTCGCATCAACCACTTCGTCCGCTACTCCGACGTTGAAGTGAAGAAAGAAAAGAAATCTTCAGTGAATCATTTGGCCGGGCAGAAACTTGCGATGCAAAGACTCGAAGGCTGGAAGGTGAGGTGTACGATACGTAATAAGGGTGTTTCTTTAAATAGTGTATAATACCTTGTATCGAAAAACCTGACAATGATATTGTTACCTCTTATTCTATGTTTTTTCTCGTTAGCACATACACTTCTCGGTATTTTCTCATTTTTTATGATGCAATTTCTATTTCAGGTTATTCACGTAGGAGGTCAGGTTTCCGAACTCGTGCACGTCGAGCAGGAAGTGTCATCTCGCCTCAACGAAATATTGCAAAGCCTAGAAAATAAAATAAGTGCACCGTATAAGGTTAGTCAAGGTCAGAAGTATTTAAGGGCTTGAATTGTTGCGTACATTCGTCTTACTGCATTTCCGGACTTGCAATTATTATTTTTTCTATTTATCATAACGATATTTGTTCGAAGATAACACTGAATTAAATGCAAGTAATGTTGACTCGTCGTAACCAATTGAAAATTTTAGGCGCATTTGTGATAGCCAAGGGCAACTAACAAATCGTAATCGGGAACTGCTAAGACGCACTTCGCTTGGTCGTTCGTGTTTTGCGTTCCACTTTTTTTTCTTCAGAATCCCGAATGATAGTGAATGCTATTTATACAACGGTCTCAGCACGGGTTCTAACAAATAACATCGCTGATGTTTTAAAAAGTTAATATCCATTGATATCTAATTTATTTTTCCATTGCAGGCTCAAAGCAAAGACGTCGATCAAATATGCGAACTGATTAAGGCGAACGTGCAGCGTTCGAAGATCATTCAAGACCAGATGAAGGAAGCCAAGATCCAGATGACTAATTTGTTTGTTCACAAGAACAGAGTGGCCTCCATATTGGAAAGTATTGGTGGCAAGCGACAGCCTCGTAAGAAAGACAGGCGAAGAGACTGAGCCGCAGATACACGTATACATCTGATGTATACATACACGTATACATCATCATGTATACATACACGTATACATACACCCTGATGGGTTGGCTCTGCAACTAATGTGTGCATGTGTCAAAAGTCAATTTTCGTTCGGCTCAAGAATTTCTGCAATTGGATAGGAATTTATTCCTCGAAGTAACATTTTGATCGTAAGCAATTGAACTTTGTTCAGAAACAATATAAAATCTTCCCCTAACCGGTGCTGTAATGGGCAACAAATTTTAAATTAAAATAACTTTCTTAAATGTTACTTAAGGAAAATTTTTTGCTTTATTTTTAGACTATGACGCATAGTTTTACAGAGTTCTGAAAACCAACCAATGACATGAACTTTTACAGTCGTAATCTTGTTTTAAGGATAGAAAAGATTCGACAATTTGTAAATATGATAAATAATATGTAAAGATAGTTCATGTGATGCGGAAGTTTATGGACTGCCACATAATATTTGAAATCAGTTGTTACATCGGTATCCTGAATGAAGTTCATTGAAGATTCTCAGAGAATTAGTTGTAAACGCTTCATAAAAATCACTGATTAAATTAAACATGATTGCGGCATCTTATTTCGCGTGTGAAAATGTATAATTGTATAAATTATTTATTGGGGTGGAAAAGGCTTAGAATAATCGAAGGTTTTAATAACATGCTAAAATTATAAATAAGGTAGGGAAGTAAAAAAATAGCGCGTGACAAGTGCTGCTACCATACAATTTCGCCAGGTGTAATGTCGCAATGTGGATTTTATTCATTAAGTTAGCTTACATTATGGATCAGGTAGACATGGTAATGTACTCCTTATTAAATCAATACCAATACAGATCCACAATTCTGTACAATGTTGACCTCCAGTTTCATGTAGTTAGTTAAGTAGATATTTTACACATATGCTCGATTTACTGTGAACTGGTAATAACTACGTTATCTTACTGGGAAAAGAACCTTGACTCCATAATGGTGAATCAAATTCACCTTTACTATGAAAGCAAGGCAGCGCCTGCCACCCGAAATTGTTACGTTAAATTTAATTTTTACATCTTTAGTTTAAAAAAAACTATATTTTTTCTGCGACGACTGAAGAATTTTAACTTGCATTCCAGATAACATGTCTCTGAAAATCTATTTCCGCGTCTAACCGTAAATTAACTGTTGACTCTGGCAAGATCAATAAATTTAACTCCATGTGTCCCTTTATTTTTTCTTCTTGCTGTCGTGCACGGTGTATTTTTCGTAGTTCTTGTTGGGATCATAGGGTTCCCAGCGGCTGGCTGGGAATATGTGCTTGTTGCGTTCGTACCAACCCCGCATCACAACTTTACCTGCACATAAGATCACCATCACACCAGTACTTATTTAGTCTTTAAATCGTAAGAACATAACCATCACACATCATAAGATCACCATCACACCAGTACTTATTTAATTAGTCTTTACATCGTAAGAAGATATTGTGAATTTACTGTGCAAAATTGCACCAGCGTGCAACTGGAGGCCATAGTTGAACTAGTATAAGGTAAACCCATGAGATGCTTATTTATGCAGATGTTGTTTGTTGTTCGCCTGTGACGTCACTGATCTCAATGACATCACAGGCATTGACCAATCACCGAAATGCTATCAGAACAGTCAACCAATCCGTCGTGCGAATGACGGGATTGTTCAAGTTTTTCAATCTCAGTGACATAACAAGAAATCTGAACTGAAAGACTGATGTCCTCGTGGGCCAACCTTATATAGTTCAACCATGCTGGAGGCTACATAGTATAGCAATAATTCTCCAAAATAGATTTGAATAACTGAGCTCAAATGAAGACTTGGCTCACCCGCGTGAGATTCTTCTTTTTCGATGCTCGCGTCGCTGGTGAGTCTGACGTCGTCGCGCACGTCGAAGTGGAAGAGCGGGCCGCTCTTGCCGCGGGCCTGTAGCGCAAATACAGCATTATAGCTCATTTAAAATTATTATAATAATTGCAAGATATACTCAATTGATATATATTATATACAAATCCTTAACATTTTTAATGCGCATAGTTTGTGGCGGAAAGGAATAATACGAAATTACGATTAACAAATTTGCAAAAGTAGCCATATAAGCAAGCAGGGTGCAGAAAATAACTATCTAGCCTTGGTGGCCAACCAGACACGGGATAAACATCAATAAAATAATTTTAATTCTCACTAACGCTGTTTGACAAACTTAATAAACGAAATTGAAACCTTAGTAATAAACTCAACAGTAATTTGGAGTTAGTGAAACAATCGTGCACAGCTGGTCCATCACCTGGGACGTTTGCGAACTTCTCCGTCTTATTGACATTGAAGTGGAACGTGTTATGGTGCGGGATGATGAGGTCACCCTCTCACCGTATTGACAATGAAGTAGAACGCCTCTCACCTTATTGACAATGAAGTAGAACGCCTCTCACCGTATTGACAATGAAGTAGAACGCCTCTCACCTTATTGACAATGAAGTCGTAGAACGTGTTATGGTGCGGGATGATGAGGTCCTCCTCTCACCTTATTGACAATGAAGTCGTAGAACGTGTTATGGTGCGGGATGATGAGGTCCTCTTTGATGTACATGAGATGGTNATGGTGCGGGATGATGAGGTCCTCCTCTCACCTTATTGACAATGAAGTCGTAGAACGTGTTATGGTGCGGGATGATGAGGTCCTCTTTGATGTACATGAGATGGTCGGCGGTGGCCGCGCGTAGTTCGTTGAACTCTTTCCTCAGGAGCTCAAGCGCCCGCTGCAGGAACTGGTAGATGCTGTTGCCTGCGACCATTGAAAATTATAACTTACCGAAGAAATAGTAAACTTGCCTTCAATATTGCAACACAGGTAATTGGAAGTGACTTAATGCGTAATACGAGTTGAGCGCACTCTATGATATGCAAGTAATAGCGTTGTTCACATTTATGAGGCTTTTTGTAAGGCAAATTTCACGTCGGATATTTATTATGAATATCAACAAATAAGTCGGCATAAATTTTGCAGCTGTGATGCTCACGAGAATGATTAAAATTGTTTGAATCCACATCTTATTGAAAATTGCATCGTTTTCTTTTTGTGACAGCAAAAGGCTGCAGGCAGAATATGATTGTTTGAAAGTAAAACCATGATATCTATAGTGGTTTCTGAACATGATGGTTTTACTTCCAAACCATCAGATTCTGCTTTCACAATTAGAAAATTGAATTACAGTATAGAATAGGTTTGAATGTCAAGGCCAACCTCTACCTTCAAATAAAAAAAAATCACTTCCCACTGCTTTCACAAATTAGAAAATTAAATTACTGAATATAATGCGTTTGAAAGACAAATACAAACCAAAGCCAACCTCTACCTGCAAATAAAAAAATCACTCCCCAATAAAGCGTATTTGAATTTCAGACAGACAGGATGGCAAACCTTTCCTCATGACGACAGAGCGACGGTGGCCTGAGCCGTCCCAGTAGCTGAACGTGATCTCGATCTCTTCATTCTTGGTGGCCTGCTGCTTGTTCTCCCACTCCTACTGAACAAACAGGTACAATCAATGCTTTACTTCGCTTTTATTATTATAATTAATAAATACAATTAATTATGGGCTTGTTCTCCCACTCCTACTGAACATACAGACACAGTCAATGTTTTACTTCACCTTAATTCAAATAATTAGTAAATACAATGAATTAGGAGCTTTTTCTCTAACTCATGCTGAACATACAGGTACAATCAATGCTATAATTAATAAATACAATTAATTAGGAGCTTGTTCTCCCACTCCTACCAAACATACAGACACAATCAATGCTTTACTTCACTTTTATTATTATAATTGATAAATACAATTCATTATGGGCTTGTTCTCCCACACGCCTACGGAACATAATCAATGCTCTGTGCAGTAATAAACCTGCCCGAATAAAGCAAAAAATTGCAATGAAAATGTTATAGTACAGTCACGTTACAAGGAATTCTTCGATACCCACGCATAAAAAGATTCGGAAATAATTTTTCATGATACAAGAAATTGTTGGTGATTTAGTGAGTGGACAAGTAAAACTTCTCTTCCTCTCGCTCTCTCACCTGCCTCAGCTCTTCTCTAAGCCTGTTCTCTTCTCACTCACCTGCTTCAGCTCTTCTCTAAGCCTGTTCTCTTCTCTCTCACCTGTCGCAGCTCTTCTCTAAGCCTGTTCTCTTCTCACTCACCTGCCTCAGCTCTTCTCTAAGCCTGTTCTCTTCTCTCTCACCTGCCTCAGCTCTTCTCTAAGTCTGTTCTCTTCTCTCTCACCTGCCTCAGCTCTTCTCTAAGTCTGTTCTCTTCTCACTCACCTACCTCAGCTCTTCTCTAAGTCTGTTCTCTTCTCACTCACCTGTCGCAGCTCTTCTCTAAGCCTGTTCTCCTCCTCTTCTCGCTCTCTGTCCGGCAAGAAGCTGGTATCCACGTCGGGATTTTTGAAAATTCCTCCCTTCTTTTTCTTCTCGTCCTTTTCTCCGTCGCTTTCGTCGCCGTCTTTCTCCTCTTCTTCGTCTCCGCCTTCCTCCTCCTCATCGTCATCGTCGAGGGCAAAACTCAGTTTGGCGATCTGTGGGTGGAGAGCGACCATTACGACCATGCAAACCATTACGACCATGCAAACCATTACGACCATGAAGATCAATTGTGCTTCACGCAAACAGGCAAGTTTGGGGGATTGGTATTTGCGATGGCTGACAATGTGGAAAAAAATACGTGAACATATACAATTTATACGTGTAAACGTTGCCAGCCATTGCATTATCAAGGAAATTACTGGCAGATATGAAATATTGAGAGTTCCCTGGATATAAAGTGGTGTGCTTGAGATGTAACATGAACCAGGAAGTGAAGAAATTCATACATAAGGGAATTGAAAAAGGTTATATCCATGTGACGATTAACTGAGATAATGCGTATTAAAGAGAAATAGTACTTAAAGACACATAAAGCTACAGAACTACAAAAATGCCGTCTGGAGCTAATCAATAAAATTGTTTTTACATCGTACATGAAATAAAGAGAAGTGCTATTAAATTATACGTTAAGCTGACAAAGTATTATTCGTTCTTCAGACAATAATAGGTATAAAGAAAAACAAACAACCTACCTTTCTTTTTTCTTCTCTTTTTTGTTCGTTTTTAGCTTGAATTTCACGGTTCCTCTTCCTCTCTTCTTCTCTCTGCTTCCTTGCAAGCTTTTTCTCCCTCTCCTTGACGACGAATTCTTGCTTGGCCTTCATTTCCGTGAGCGTCACCAGACCGATCGTAGAGCTCTGCGGGAGCAGGGAACCGCTCAGGGGCCGTAATACATGTATATAAAAATATAACTCAGTACTCACTGCAGTGGGTGACAGAGAGCGCATTTTCTCGTCCGTCCGTCCGTGAAGTCACGCACAGACAGACGGACGGACGGGCAGGGCGAGTACAAAAGCGCATTTTCTTCCATAAATGAGAAAATGCGCTAAAACAAAAGTAGCGAGTTTGTACTACCGTCAGCTAATCACTGACGGCTTTTCAAGCTAAGCACACCAATCGCAGACGAGAAATCGGCCGCTACTTCTACTTAGGCCGCTAATGAACTTGGCCACTGCGTGTCATGGAGCAAGTTTTGATGGTACGGCATACGGCACAAATCTGGAAGCACATGATTGCTCCAAAAGCGAATTAAATGGAAATTCAGAATGGAAAAGCTCAACCATTCATTGACTAATCTATTTTAAATCAAGGGATAAGATTTCATTTCAACAAGTATACAAGCTTCCAGCTTAAGGTAAATAATTAAATTCCATCGGCAACACCAAGAACCACGCACCTTGAGCTGCTGTTCTTCACCAAGAACCACGCACCTTGAGCTGCTGTTCTTCAACACCAAGAACCACGCACTTACAAGAACCACGCACCTTGAGCTGCTGTTCTACACCAAGAACCACGCACCTTGAGCTGTTGCTCGACGGCATCACAATGCACCGCAAATTTGTTCTCAATTTTGTTGATCTTGAGCGTCTCTTCGACCTTACGACGCTTCTGCTCGAGCTCCTCCTGCTCGCGCTCCCGACGCTTCAAGATCTGCTGGGCGCGCCCCGCCTCACTCGCGGCGCCCTTGTATTGAGCCATTTTCTTGTGATGCGGTTGAGAGCTTGTCTTGTGTTAATATTCCTGTGCAGTTAGCAGTGTGCGTTGTATTTATATTCTTTAGGGTTATGCTTTTTTTATTTATGAACACCTCCTAATTTCTTTGAAGGAATTTAGGAATTTCTTTGCACTCGTGACGTTGCTTCTAAACTATAACCACAAATAAGAATAATTATTAGGAAGTGGACCAATTGCGATCAACAGTTTACGTACTGTGCAAATAAACATCCTATGACAGAAATAAAATTAAAATGATACCGTACGACCAGAAGTTAAACGAGAGATACAAAGTTGACATCGCCATTCAAGAGCGTCTGACTAGCTCATTATAGAAGCAAGTCTAACTGTCAATTCAAGAGACATATGGGTGCTTGGGAAGTAAGTTCTTTCAGCTAAACCAAGTTACCGCAAATTTGTTCTCAATTTTGTTGATCTTGAGCGTCTCTTCGACCTTACGACGCTTCTGCTCGAGCTCCTCCTGCTCGCGCTCCCGCCGCTTCAAGATCTGCTGGGCGCGTCCCGCCTCACTCGCGGCGCCCTTGTATTGAGCCATCTTCTTGTGATGCGCTTGAGAGCTTGTCTTGTGTTAATATTCCTATGCTGTTAGAAGTGTGCGTTTTATTTATAATCTTTACAATTATGTTTTTTATTTATGATTTTTTTCAAGGTGATGATTTGGCGTTATATATCCATATTTTGCAGCTTCATTAGGCGAACACCTCCAAACTTCTCCGAAGAAATTTAGGAATTTCTTTGCACTGGTGACGTTGCTTCTAAACTATAACCACATATAATAATTGTCAGGAAGTGTACCAAATACGATCAACAGTTTACGTACTGTGCAAATAAACATCCTACGACAGAAATAAAATCAAAATTATACCGTACGACCAGAAGTTAAACGAGAGATACAAAGTTGACATCGCCATTCAAGAGCGTCTGACGTGCTAATTTTTGAATTACGTTTAACCTTCAATTCAAGAGACATGGGTGCTTGAAAAGTAAGTTCTTTCAGTTAAACCAAGTGTTAAAAACGTGATATTTCAATTGAAATTGCACTCCAAATCAATAAAAAATAACGTCGCATTTAAAAAATAATCAAAATCATGGTCGGTTCAAAGTTAAACGAATTTCTATTTTAAATATTTCCATTAATTAGTAGAATCATACCAATTACTTATTAGTGGAATTTCTCTGACATAAAAATTCAATTTTTCATCAAATCTCATGCGGTCCAAAAAATGAAGTCGCAAAAAACCACGACTCAAGTGATTATTCATATATTTTTCCATAACGAATTACTGCACCAAATAACACTACTCTTGCCAAGCTCCTTCCTCTTCCTATACCATGTGAAGCGTCATCATATTCTGCCAACAGACTTCCAGTTCCTTCCACCAAGTCGCACCACAGTACAGCAATACTCGTTACACCATCGCTTTCACCATCTTACCGCCAACTACATCACCTGCCTCCACCATGCTAGTGGCAGAATTACATCACCCTCCTTCACCATCTTACCGCAAGACTACATCACCTGCCTCCACCATGCTAGTAGCAAACATACATCACCCTCCTTCACCATCTTACCGCAAGACTACATCACCTCCCTCCACCATGCTAGGAACAGAATTACATCACCCTCCTTCACCATCTTACCGCTAACTACATCACCCCCCTCCACCATGCCAGTTGCAGAATTACATCACCATCCGTCACCATGCTTCCCGCAGAATTACACCATCCTCATTGTCGTTACGTATCGCACAACTTCAACAATCGCTACAGGTTTCAATCGAAGTTTTAATAGCTTGTTTTACTTAACCACGTAAGACCAACAAATTATGAGTTGTCACGTCAACGGATGACCGTTCTAGATGGCCACAAGTGCAACGAATTTCAGTCTCGCCCCCAGAGTCTCAGTAGCGGCAGCATAAAGGATATTAAACTCCATGTCTGGCCAAATGGTCATAAGTGTTGGCCATTGTCTGTCGACCATTTCGTTCACGCCCCCAAAGTATCGGTGGCGTATAGGATATTAAATTCCATGTCTGGCCTAAATGGTCATAAGTGTTGGCCATTGTCTGTCGACCATTTCGTTCTCGCCCCCAGAGTAGATCTGGAGAACAGTTAGCTCAGGCGGCAAGGGTCGCGACTTCCTTAGCTCCTTGTGACACGGGATCGAATTCTCTAAATTTCTTACAACGGTCGTAAATTTTGGATCCAATCTCAATGAACATAAACAGCGTCTGGAAACTGTTGACATAAACTTGCTTTTCAATTAAATTACAACTCACGAACATAACTTCTACTCGGGAGTTCGAACCCATGGGTAAAAGGAGCAGCCATAGCCAAACATTAAAAAAAAACTGGGGCTGTACTATCATAAGTCGCTCACGTACACGAAGCGGTTCGAGGTATATACACGTAGTGGCCCAAGTGAATCCTAAGTACACGTAGCGACCTAAGCACACGTAGCGGCCTAAGCACACGTAGCGGCCTAAGCACGCGTAGCGATTTATTGTCTGTAATTGATGGGTTAAAGCCGCCAGTGATTGAATAACGGAGTAACGAACAATAACAATTTTTGATAGTACGGCCCCAGGATTGTGATACAAGCACCTCCATATTATGAGCAAGACTCGCGCTCTTTCTTGAAATACAAACTCATTTTTTTATAAAACTTCAGCTTGGTGCTGCAATCTCAGGGATGAGTCACGCCACAAACAAGACTCGAATTCAGTAGAAAAATACAAGGACGGAATATGGCACATGGCAGGCAGGAGAAGCAGCCTGCCTAAAGGTAATCCATTGCCAAGTCCCTACCCAACGAAATGCAACGTAACTATGTCTTCAAGCTCAAACAAAGGATAATTAACGACGCTGTTTGTGAATTGTGTGTTCTCAATGAGCATAAGTTGGGAGGTATAAAACTGAGTAGTTAAGACGTATAAAGACATGATGAATTATAAGGAGTTGAGGTTTACCAGGATCATAAGAATTATACCGGTACTTCCCAATTGACTGGCTTATCAACGACGTCTGGCAAATTAAACGTAAAATTCATCTCTTGGAAATGAAATAATGAAGTACAGTTAACAACCACTTCCCCCAATTGCATGTGAGCACGTAAGAATGCACACTGTAACGTTCTCAATGCTATTCATCATCAGTTAACTAAATCAGACTTCATTAACTACATACCTCGAAATCCTATCACTACTTGTCTTTTTTAAAAAACCTATCCGTCTTCAAGAAAAGTTTGCATTAAGTGGCAAGAATGAAATGAAAGGACGCTTATAAGAGACGAGTGTTATTGGTGGTGCATTAGATGGGCTTGATCTTGAAGTGCAGGCCGATGAGAGAGAACACAAGACACTTCAGGTCCTGGACCAGGTAGTAGAAACACCGCAGACCATCCGGGTCCCTGCACGGCATTTAATGCTTATAATAATATGGATATTGGCTCCTTGCACGGCCATTAGTGCTTATAATATAGATATCTTGTCCCTGCACGACAATTATTATTTATGAAAATATCAATATCGATTCTCTGCGCGCCAATCAATGTTTATAATAATATGAATCGTGTCCCTGCACGGCCATTTATATTTATGATAATATTGATATCTGGGTCCCTGCACGGCAATTAATGCTTTTAATAATGTGAATATCAAGTCATTTTACGAGGATTAATTAATATGTATAGTAATATGAAAATTGTGTTGGACCACAGAACTCAAGCACCATTCGGGTCCCAGAACGGTATGAGTAACCACAGATGCAAGTAAGATATTAAACGCGGTATTTAGGTTCACTCTAAATGAAATCAAGTTGGAAACTAGAAACTTTACAGAAAATGGAAAAAAATTCTCTTGATTTTAATCCCAATATAAATGAACCTATAGGGAAAGTTTGTAGCTAATAAATTGCGAGTGGCACTCGAGGCATAGAAATGGAGCAGCCAGACTAACACTTGAGAAATATTCATACTATATTTGTTTCTTTTCTTTACCATTTTCGTATTTCAAACCAATAAGAAATTAAAGCAATTCAATTCATCTTTCTTAAATGTAAAAAATTATCCAATGTGATAAATTTGGTAAATCTGACACAAAATAACGAAACTATTAGTCATTCATTACCTATTACATAGTCATTTGTTACCTATTACCTACTCATTCATTACCTACGGGTATTCAATATTGGTTACTGATTCAAGTTCTACAGTGAATCCAAACAAATTTTATTCAGTTTCACAAAAATTATAAATACATACTCGTGACATCAGAATACATTCACACTGCTCTGAATTAACTGCATCACGTTCCACGCACTTGGAGTTGTTGACATCCACAAGGGAGCCAATCTTGGAGGTGGTGAAGGAGATGTGCTCGTCTCCTATGACGATCTCGAGCTCCTGCCGCCCCACCCTGTCAGGCTGCGGCCACAGGGCGTCGTCCTCCTGCATGATCTCAGAGTCGTCGATGATGCGACGAAGCTCCTCCATCACGCACCGCATCACATACGCCTGCAACACCCCAGCATCAGTAAATCCCGTAAGTTTACATGCATCAGTAAATCCCGTACGCCTACGATACCCCAGCATAAGTAAATCCCGTACGTCTGCATTACCCCAGCATCAGTAAATCCCGTACGCCTGCATTACCCCCAGCCTCAGTAAATCCCGTACGCCTGCATTACCCTAGCCTCAGTAAATCCCGTACGCCTGCATTACCCCAGCCTCAGTAAATCCCGTGCAGTCAGACACCGCGAGCTCAGCGGTGGGGCGCTCAGGAACAATCCCCCTAGGAGCGCGAAATCCCATAGGACTTCTGACGAGCACAGACACATGTCAGAAGTCCCCCCTGAGGGGCAGACATCAGTAAATACCGTAAGTTTACATGTATCAGTAAATACCATACGCCTGCAATACCCCCAGCATCAGTAAATCAACTAGAAGTGTACTACCATCTACATCAAGGATTTACCAATCTTTCAGAGTTGTTTGCATTGGTGAAAATAGATCGTGAGTTTGATATAAAATTAATATTTACAGTATTTATGAAGGGCTGAAATATAGTCTTGGCAATATTAATTGGATAAAGAAGGTAAAAAAATAGTCTGGGTGCCACTGTTTTCCTCAAACATAATTACACATGAAACAAAAGTGCCTCATAACCATGCTATTTTCCTACAGAAACTATAAGTCATCAGTACTGCATATGACCATTAACAGGAGTGCTTTACTGAATAACATCCAGCAAATGCGCATGTAGCCTAACAAGCACACATGAATAATCAACAGCATAAATTTTATACCTAACAGGTGGACATTTATCCATAAACAGAAAATAATGCATTGACTGTCAAATTTTTAAACTGAAAATCTTCAAATTTTATACCCTTGAGCCTTCTGTTAAATCAAACCTAACGTATTCCAAGTTACCTCTTTGCGGATCATGACGTCATTCTTGTAGTTTGAGTTGTTTGCATAACGCAGTTTGCCTGTGAAAATAATTGCAGTCCCTTTTTAATACATGAATAACAAAAAGTTACATTAGATAACTATAAACCTAAATTATTCAAGCTAAACTGCTACATTTAAAAGAACAGAATCTCGCCTCACACTCGATAATGGATACTGTGTAATTTCAATACTATTCAAGAATAGGTACATTAATAAGGTAGAAATTAAATAATTTAACTTAAAACGCCATCACTCACCATCAGGACGAAACTCAAATTCAAGAAACTCATGTCCAAACTTTCCCTTGTGCCCTACATAATATCTTAAATAGAAGTCATTGGACGCCATCTTTACAAAATAGGTCTGTGGATGAAGGAATTATAATTAAATAGACTGGTCAACATAAAATCATAGAAAATCACTCATTTCAAACAATAACTGATGCTCAAACTATAAGCTACTTTATAACTCAATCACCTGAACAACCAATAAAAATCATTGTAAATGACTACCAGAAAAAAATTAAGGCATTCACATTTCACATTCAAATCATCTAATATTTTAGGAGCATATTAACCAAATAAATTTTAATGCACTGAGATGAGATGAACTTATGATGATGAGATGAATTTTAAAGGACAAGTTAATTATTAAATTCTATTAGTAAGAAGATAAGACAAAACCAAATCAAAGCCATAGTTGAGTGGTCTATCTTTTCCCCAACCATTTGGCCGGATGAAGTTCAAATTGCAACTGCTTTAATAAATTTTACAAATAAATAAACTTGCTTACAAATTTCAAAATCAACCAAATGCAATAAGATCAGTTGCAATTAAAACTTTGGATGGGGTATGGCCATATTTTAATATTTTTTATTCAGAAGAACACTCAACACATAAATAATTACAATAAATGACAATCATCTGAAGCAAATTCAAGGATTTCCAACACTTTTACAATAACCAATTTCATTGAACATGATGTGTACAAGATAGTATAAACACAATCAATTCCAAAAAATTAGCCTACAAAAGTGGGTAGATAGTTGAAAAGCCAGGATAAGTTATTTATTGGGCAAAAAAATAGAAAATCAATCTTGCACCCAAGTGAGATGGTAAAGAAAAAAGTTGTATTGGTGTTAAGTGTACCTGGAAGAAAAAAACAGATACACTAACACCAGTACAATAAATATTTGTAAGCACATTAATAGTGAGGCAGCAATCACACCAATGAAAAAGATCTCATGTTGCCTCATTTGTTGGCACTTGAACAAATTGGTCAGCTTTCAGACCCAATCTCTCCATGAGCGCAGAATCTTGTCCATCATGACGCGTTGCCAGTTGTTCCTTCAGGTGCAGAGCATTTTGGGGGTTATTTTTCAAACAACATCCCAGGGCAAAAATAACTGCTTCTTGAATAAGTGGATTGGCTTCATCTCTGCGACAACTGCAGAAAATTTCTTCAAGACCACCAACAGCACGCAATTCATCTTGATTCTGAGCATCCTCATTTACAAGATTACCAAGGAGCTGCACAAGGTCACATCGAAGGCCTACCCCAGCATCTGCATTCACCAGTTGCAGTTGGGACCACCGGCTTGTAAAATGTTCTTTGCTGGCTTCATTATCAGGCTGGAACGTAGCAATATTGAGGGCCTTCAAGAAAGAGACAGTGATGAGCAGTAAGGAGGCTTGAGACTTCAAAATCTTACAGTGTAGAGGACTTGCTGCAGCCCCCAGAACAGCAGCACATAATTCACGCAACACAAGAGGGTTAGATCCTTCAATTTGGCCAGCATCATTGCTCAAGATGACACCGACTGCATCTAAGTAAGTTTTACTCAAAAATTCAATCATAGGTACACTGGCAACCGCACCACGTTTGTGGGATGTTCCAGAAACAATTATGTTTTGACATATTGAAAGAACTAAAAGCTTTTGAGTGTCATTGAGATGTTCAAACCAAATGACCCTAAAAGATTTTAGGTCACAAAACTGACAAAAGATGATCTCAAGACAAAACAAAGCAAAACATGCATGCTGGGTTTCAACTGAATACACATTGCAAAATTTGGCAACAGCTTGGGCAAGAGGAAGAGTTTCTAAAAAGGATTGGCAGAGAGATTTTTGAAGAAGAATAGAAAAAATTACTGCACACCATTTTTGACCCACATGAACAGGCATCGACAGAAATACATCATAAATGCTTGAGAAAGTAAAAGCATTGCATAGCTTAGTAATGGCATTACTGTTACCAGCACAAAGGTTTGCAATGCACATGACAAATGCATTAGCAACTTCTTCTTCATGTTCATTTAATTTCAGGAGTTCAGGTGATGCATTGGGCAAATGAAATACTTGTTTCATACATTTTTTCAAAGTTTCAACACATTCAGTAGAACTCCAGACAAGATCCTGCAAGCCTTGGTCTTCCATTCCACAAATACTGAGTCTGATTTTGTCCAAGATGATTTTACAGCAGCAAGAAATGTTATTTTCTGAAAGAGCATGCTGCTTTAAACAGGCCTCCAGTGATGTGAAATTTTGCAGAATTGCTTCTTCTGATGAATACATATTCATTTTGTGAACTTATTCCTGGCTGTTTTTCAACAGAAATGTGAACACAAATATAAGCAAGGAAAATTCCTGAAAAAAATCGACAACTAATTACTTACACAGACTTGACACAAAAGGAATATTGGGTGCTTTCTGTTCCTAAGTATAGCCTTAGACTGAAAGTTGACTCAGATATTTAAACAGTTGTAATATTACCATTACGTACCAGCAACTATTAAAATTTATTAGTTGATGACAAGGATGAATACAAAATTTTTCTTCAAAGATCTTTTAATATGAATTTATCATAATGCATTAGTTTTTAATAATCTCAGGTTCAGAAAGCATGCAAATGTGGAAAAATATAAGAGCTTAGTGACTGACATTGCAAGAGGACCCCCAAGTCTTGGGCTCCCTCAAGTCAAGCAATACAAATGTTGGTTATGAAGCCCAAAGAAGGCAAATAGTAAATAAATAGTATTTTCTAACAAATATATACTTCAATGATACTACTATCATGCACAAACTTTTTCTTAAAATCAGATAAATATATATATATATACTGCTTCATCTATTTTGCTCATCAAAAGTTTATTGTGAGCCAAGTTTATTAGTTAAATACGCTATTCACCATTAATTTGGCTAATGCATGATGATTGGCAAAGTAATGCACACATTATAAGTAAGTAGTTGAATGGTTTACTAGTTCTTCAGCTACTGTATTAAGCTATTTTGCACAGGAGGTCATAAGTTAACATTGCCAGCGAGGCGGCCAGGGTGCAGAGTTTGCAAGCAGTGTTGCCAATATATGGATTTTTGGCCCAAATAGTCGCGAGCCAATTTCAAGATGCGTCGCCGAGTAATTTTCAAAAAGAAAGTGCTGCAAGCAACTTTGATAGTATATCCCTTACTCTCCATGCACTGCAACCCTATCACTCATTGCAACTGATTTCTTGACAAGATACACTGCATCCTGATCCATCCAATGTACTGGAAACCTTAGGGTTTGAATTTGGAGCGTGGTGACACTGAAAAAAATCTTCAGACATCAGGCCTTTGTATTGGCTAGCTGCTACGCGTCACACATTCATTTTAAATTTTTAATATTGATTTTTGGCATAAGGAGGGGAGAAAAAGAGGAGCATGTACAAGATTAAGATATTGGGACAAAATTTAGAGTGCAGAGATGGTTTGTGTAAGTACTAGATGCAAGTTATAGGTTGATGAAATAAAAGAAACAAGGGATGGTGAGGGGAGGGATAATACTTTCAATTTAAATTGGTTGTTTTGTTGGTTATTAATAGGTCCCATTAATTGCACTTTTGCACAGTAGTTTTGGACATTTGTCATACAAGTCTTATTAGCTCCCAACACACTAGATAACACTTTCTTTCTCTTTACATTTTATTATTATTACCATTCTTTAAATTTTTATTGCTTGTTTCTTTACACCCTCCCAGCCTCCATTCTCTACAGCCTCCTCTCCCTCATTTTCCATGCAACCTCTAAGAAATGCTAACCACTATCTGTCATGGCAATGGTTACCCCTGGTGACAGGCCCACCATCATTGCCATCTATTTATCTCCCATTCTCTCATACGTCACACCATCACCCTCATGCCTCTCATCCAGTATCACTCCAATCATTTCCAGTCTTTCACTCTCATATGCTTTACTCCTATGGTATGCACTTGCGGTCTTTCAGATTTGCAGTGAATGCAATAATTTCAAAGTAGTAATTTCTAAAACTCAATAATTTCAATCCAAATGTGTCGGCAAGATCTGCATAAATTTTGCTGCTGATGTGTCACCAAAGATCTTTCAATAAACACCCACTTCTGCACCCTGGCAAGGTGAAAGGTCTCATATATTGAGAGTCACAAATCAATCATTAAGAACAAGGGGCAGGAGGTCTCAGATGTCCATGTCTCAGTCTCTCAGATGTATTCTGGCTAAGTAGCCCCAGGCTCTCACAGCCATCGTAACTACATGCTACAACACATAGTTCTGATTGTAGTGTGCCAGGGTGCAGAAAGTGGGTGAATATCAAAAAATCTTTGGCAGCACATCAGCAGCAAAATTTATGCAGTCAGAAGATTGCACAGTAAGGTTTCCGGTACCTTGGATGGATCAGGATGCAGTGAAGCTTGTCCGGAAATCAGTTGCAACGATGCAGTGCGTGGAGAGTAAGGGGTGTACTATCAAAATTGTTAGCGCCATTTTCTTATTAAAAATTACCCAGTGACGCATCTTAAAAATGGCTGGCAACGCTTTGGACTAAAAATCCATATATTGGCAATGCTGCTTGCACCCTCTGCATCCTAGGTACCCGGTAGCATGTAGATCAATAAGGTGCATCAGCCATGTTGATAGTAAATTGCAATTTTTGGAGAAGCATAATTGGCAACCGGCGTCCGGCAGGGCAGCATGCCGGCATCTACCTTGGCATCTTTGGTGCATGAAATCGGTGTTTTCAACCTATGTTGTTCCATGCTTTACAGTCTGGAGGAGCCCCTACTTCTCTTTTATTACAAAAAAAACATGAATTACAACTGTTTTTCATGTTGTTGTTAATTGCCCGGGACCCCTGCTTGGCAGCACCCCCGAAAAAGCGGCTGCTCCGGGGGAGGAGGGGGGAGCGGAGGTTCCGCTCCAAGGATGTCAGCAAAGGATGAGAGCGATAAGAGGAAAGCCGCAGTCAGTCCAGGATTAGACCAGAGGTCCAGTGGGGTAAGCAAGGTGGAATGCAAAAGGCAGCTGAAGCCTGAGGCCCTGAAGTGATGGGTGGTGTGGTCCATTGCGCCACACTCAGGGCAGAGAGTGCTATTGTCTGCACCAATGCGGGCAAGATACGAATTAAACCACGATGAGCAGCCAAAGCGGAGATTGCCAAGGGAGAGGCGTTAGGGAACCACACTGGGGCAGCATAGATGATGAGAGACTTCAGGTGATGAGAACTGTCAACTGTACTTCATAAACAGTTTTTGCTCCAGATTTTCAAATTAGGTTTCAACTTTTAAAACTAGTTAAAACTCACAGCCATAATTTCCAGGAAATTCTGTCCAATATTCCAGATTAGCTTTTGATTGGGCCAGAAAGTTGCAGCTCAGTTTTGTAATGCTGATGAAACAATTTATTTTGAAAGCCAGCAACATAATGCCAACATTAAGTGACAAGTGCTCTACTGGTAGTGACAGAGTGCTCAGTGCAGCACTGCACTCTGCAGCACACTGAGCACAGTTAGCAGTCTGTCAGAAAGAGTGACAGTTTATCTCATAATTTTGTGTGATATCAAAAACTTTGTTGGTATTGTCCAATTGTGAGAATTTTTTGCAAATTTTGATGTGTTTTTTTTTCAATTTAGAACATATTCATTGCAAAAATTCATCCACTACCCTACAGATAGACAACTAGTTAACTTGATTGAGGGCTTGAGGCGTTGCCAACATGGGATTGGATGTCAAACCACACACAAACTTTAATAGAAGCCTGAAGGACTGAAGGTGCTTGTGCTAAATGATTAAATTTAATGTCTGCTAATTAGAAACTGCAAGTCAGTACCTAACTACCTAAACTTGGTATTTTCAGATGCGATTATAGGATATAGGGCTATGGATATAGCATTCATTTCTTTCTTTTCTAATTTCTGGCATAAGCCATAAAGATGATAAAGTCGATAAGTACGATGACTCGATGTCATAAGTTTTCAGCCGTTTCAGGCACACATTTCTGCGAATCTTTATTGTTTATAAGATTTATTCCACTAATATAAATACGCATTACAACTTTTGTTATAATTATCAGGATAGCTACCTCAACAAAATGCTCCGGTGTTACTGTTAGCGTTAATCGCTGACTGGCTTGTGAGTTGTACAGAGTGCTCAGTGCAGCACTGCACTCTGCAGCACACTGAGCACAGTTAGCAGTCTGTCAGAAAGAGTGACAGTTTATCTCATAATTTTGTGTGATATCAAAAACTTTGTTGGTATTGTCCAATTGTGAGAATTTTTTGCAAATTTTGATGTGTTTTTTTTTTCAATTTAGAACATATTCATTGCAAAAATTTATCCACTACCCTGCAGATAGACAACTAGTTAACTTGATTGAGGGCTTGAGGCGTTGCCAACACGGGATTGGATGTCAAACCACACACAAACTTTAATAGAAGCCTGAAGGACTGAAGGTGCTTGTGCTAAATGATTAAATTTAATGTCTGCTAATTACAAACTGCAAGTCAGTACCTAACTACCTAAACTTGGTATTTGCAGATACGATTATAGGATATAGGCTATGGATATAGCATTCATTTCTTTCTTTTCTGGCATAAGCCATAAAGTCGATGAGTACGATGACTCGATGTCATAAGTTTTCAGCCGTTTCAGGCACACATTTCTGCGAATCTTTATTGTTTATAAGATTTATTCCACTAATATAAATACGTATTACAACTTTTGTTATAATTATCAGGATAGCTACCTCAACAAAATGCTCCGGTGTTACTGTTAGCGTTAATCGCTGACTGGCTTGTGAGTTGTGAGAAAGCTTTTTAGGCTCATTGCGAAACAGGTGAGAAATCATAGGCACCGCTATCCGTTCAGCAACGAATATAAACGAAATATCAAGCTCATTTAAAATTTAAATATTGCATAAAGCCATAAACAATACCGAAAATTTTTACAACTATTTTGGACCTCCAAAGCAGGCATGCCGCACATTGTTTACAGAGCTAAGGTTTCGTTTCAATGAGAATTGAAAAACTTGCGCGTCATCGTTAAGTTTTAATTTGAATTTCGGTATGTGAGCTAAACTTATTTTCTTAAATATTATAAATAATACAAAATTAGATGACAGGAAGATCGTAAAAATTTGCGCAAGTACATCACGCTAAATATGGGAATTGAGTTCATATATTTAATTGTATAATTCATAAACATTAGCTCACAATCAACCCAAGTGGAAAACTAGGAAGTTTTTTATGGTTAGAAAACCAACTCCGAGAAATTTAATGGTTACATTCAATGCTGATATGCTTATATGATATCTCCATTCAGAAAGAAACGCCAGAAGAATGATCATGAGTCTCTTTCAGCACCATGAGAGCAGCGCAGACCGCACTGTTTTTACGAAAGGTTCCTACTTAACCTGGATCCGATATGACGCTGCACTGACGAAGGTATTAGCATCCTGTTCCTCATTTTTATCGAATAGAATAGAAGTTTAGGCACTGAAGAAATAGGCCTGTGGCCTGTTGCCGATTCTTGAATTTTTCGTGACTTGATTCACAAGGGATCCGGCCTTTGGAACCCGATCTTTCCATAATTGACGGTTGATTGAGATAGCTGCTGGACTTATTGCCTGGTCCGTAATTTGCTAGGCATTTCAAGACGGAACATTTGCTCCTGCACTTTAGCTGGCAATTACTCCAGTCTCTTGGAGGAGACAGGACTTTGAGGTGCTTCTACCACCACAAGTCTTACGCGCAACAGAACTCTATTCCTAGACACGAGAAGATTTAGGCAGTTCTCCCTTTATCGGCAATTGATTTCAATTTATTAGACAGTGACAAAAAAAATAATACAACTTTGTTCACTAATAATTTTTTTGCATGGCAATCTAGCTCATCGATAACATATCCACGGTTATTGTTTATATTTTTTCCGGTGTATCATCGTTAAGAAGGCAGTAACCCTTCTTCCTTCTCTTGTGCCCAGTACAGAGGAAATAACACTCCTTCCCTATCCTGTGCCTCAGTACGATGGTGGGAAAAGTTTGCATGCAATGAATATTTTTCGGTTAGTGTGTAAGTTAACTTGGAGAGAAACGTTCGAGGGACTTCAAGCGTATATTTGTACACTCATATAAGTTCAACTTTATAACAATACCCACTTCATCTTCTCATAAGCATACAAAAACAGATTGAAATGTCAATATTTATTTAAGAAAAGATTTAAAGAAATATTTCAGGGTCTTGTTAAGTATTTTAATTATTTAAATGAGTGCTAAATTCAATAAAAAACGATCTCGTTTCTAAGCCTGCACTGAATGTCGTCCTCTTCTCTTTACTCTCATTAAATAAAAGCCTGTTCTCTTTGTCCCATCTAGAGAGCACCATTTAATTTTTAAAAGGTTTCATTTGTTTCAAAATTACCTATTATTATAGCTAAATAAATTCAGTGAAAAAATTGCGGCTAAACAAAATTAGATGCCCCTCAGCCGAGGGCGAAGGCATTGACGGAGTTCTGGGCATCGGCTTGGGGCACACAGCGCCTGAAGATGTTGAAGGCCTGGGGATTAAATGTACACGTTTAATCACAAAAGTAAACAGTGACAATGAATGCTACTTTCATTGTCATGTAGTTAAACAGTGCCACTCCAGTTCCGCTTTCACGACTATATATGTTCACCTATGTTGCGGCTGAACCATACAAGATCGTTACTACTCTGTGCTCTACGTTCTAACTGGAAATTGGAAATAATGGGAGGTTGTTCGTAGTTCGCACTGTCAGGTACGCGCAAAAGTTTTCAGAGCACGATTAAACACCACTACCCTAACATTTAACTGGCAGCTATTTCATCAGCTTTTTCTTTAATGTTAAGTTCAAGAGTGTCTAGCTCCTGTTGCTTTGTTTTCAGAGATCGCCTCATGTCGTTGAACTTTACGATGATTTTCGAAACGCCCTCTCTCCATTGCTTCTGCATATTCGTCTGCTGCTTGCTCAAGCGGCTTGATGCCCTCCACCGTGCATCTTTTCTTCTTCAGTTCATCTAGCTCATCCAAAAGAGCCTTCCTCTTCTGGGTTTTCAGGGCCTTCGCATTCTGCTCTTTCTCTTCTGCTTAATTAATTATTGGAGGCTGTTTTGGCTCTGCCAGCTGCAAGCAGCATCTTCTTGGCGATGGTCATCTTGTGCAGGCCACCAACATGTGCAACATGATCAACCACAGCATGCAGGGCAACCACCGATCGCTCTTTCATGTTGTGCGTCATGATTTCCTTGTTGAATGAAAACCCTCTTTCAACCGTGGCTTGGCCATGAGACAGGAGCATGAGCATCTGCACTACATTCCAGAGCTTCTTGTTGGTGCTCTTTGACAGAATGGCATGCCAAAAAGTGTTCAGTCGATCAGAAGTTGAAAATGCTTGAAACTGTGCGTTCAATTCACTGCAATGTTGTGATTCATCTCTAAAGTTGCACATCTCATCCACAACACCATTCACATCTGTGTTGGGGATTCTCTTGGCAACAACAAGCAAAGTCAGACAGTTCTTCAACTGTGTCTTGTTGGCTTCGTTACAGCCCTTCTTGATGAAGACTTCTGGCACCAGCCATCTCAGGTTCCTCCCAAGGACATACCTTGGTAGGGGATCTTCAGCACAAACAGGGGATCTTCAGCACACTCCTGCAATGTCTTGAAAGATCAATTTTCTTTGGATATGGGACCTTTCCTCCCTTGACTGCATTTGATAGGAAACAATTAAAAATGCCTGGTAAAATAATCGCAGCGTATGTAAAATAGATGAGAACTACAAAATACTTAACAAAATTAAGGGCAGATATTATTTGCACCCGAGGTTGTAGCGTGTGACACTACAACCCGTGGCGATTAGGGTTAACACAAGCAGCACAGAAAAATAATTCCTTTTTATTTATTTGCAAATTCCAGGACTTGAAATGAAATTCCAGGACTTTCCAGATTTTCCATGACTGGTACGCACCCTGTTGAAAGTAGAGCAACTCTGTCAATCATGGTTAACGAAAAGAACCTCATGCATTTTATTAATAGTTAAAAACATTTCAGTTGGTCAATTCTTTTCAACAATTGTGTTGCATTCTCAAAAAGCTGCATCAAAGTAGCGAGAACGATTTGATAAAAACGAAAGCCGCAACGCTTCTTATTTCAAATTGGCAGTGATTTACAGTCAGAAAAAAGTGAGGTTTTAAGAGGACGCGCAAAAATATAGCTCATTACAACATAAATTTTTTTCATAAAAGAATATAACATAAAAGTTGGTCAATAATTAACAAGTTTTCTCGCAACTTTGCGTAATCACTCAATGGAACACAGATGAGAAAGTAAACAAAGCGAGCTGATCATTAAAATGATGGATATAGAAATAAATTTCATTGACTTGTCCACCAACTTTGAAGGTCCCAATATTAGCAATTTACGTGTTCTGGAGACACCTCGGGGTGCAGGGGTCACAATTTCTCCTTTGGTGATCTCAAATCCGAAGATGACGCGACTTCACCTGAGGTAAATGTACTAAAAATGAGGAGAATGTGCTTATAAGTTAGCAGTGCGCGTATTTAACAAGTGACACCCAGAAAAAGCATGCATGCAGGGGTCCAAAGCGAAAGTTTTTTGGGCGCTCTGCAGCCCGACGCCCGTTACGCTATTCTAACCAAAATTTTGATACGCACGCAGTTTTAACACTCATTAATCCCGTACACCCCGAGTTTTGTAACATAAAATGTATATTGTAATGTGAAAAGGAATATGCAACCCAGAATGTCGCATGTTAGAATGCATATTGTAATGTAGAATCGAGCCACGAGGCAGCTCATGAATAATAAATATAACGCGGCCACAACTCACTGACACCGTACAATTTAGAATCATCATGTCGAGGTACAAGTGCAGCTGAACACACTCAGTGTGATCATTTGCGATCTAAATTCATCAGTCACATTGTCAGCTTTGACGTCTTTGCAAATACGGAGCATCTGATTTAGAGCTTCGCCACTTCACACTAACCCAACGCTGAGCAAGGACTCCTATTATTCATACACGTGCGATGAAAAAAAATGTTGTTATAAAATAAATTGAGGTTCTTCTACCAAACAACTTTCCATGGAAAACTAGAAAATTTAAACAAAATTTTATCATACTCGCTTCTATTTTCACTTTATTTTATATACTTTTATTTTTTCATAAGAGCTAAAATTTTCCCAAAGAACAGTTAAATCTATATATCAACATTTCATTGTGGAGCTAGAGATGCCATGCACCTAGCTGTAGTGATGGACTGCGACAGACATCTGTAAACACGTGATCAACAAATAGAAGCACCTGTTTCAATAATATCATACAGCTTATAAAGCTTATAAAGGCAGACCATGTATCGTACCAAAGTCACAGGTCGTCTAACAGCCTTTCGTTCACGACGCGTATTGCCATAGCCTCTTGCCGCTCAAGCCTTCACGACTACCACCATGATGAAATCTGTCGGTCTTGTTCTTCTTCTCATCGCAACCTTTGCCTACTCCGGTGTTGATGGGTATGTGAACTTAGCAATTGAATTCCGACATTGTGGACACTCCTACTGTTCACCTTTATCCTAAATTATTAGGTCATATTGCTTTGTGCCAATTTTGTACAGCCACTTCCTATCAGTGTTAAAAAAGTTGCGAAAAGGTGCATTTAAAGCTAAGGATATTACTTGTTTTCCTGACTAAATCGGGAAATGTTCATCTTTTGGTGTTACTCACCTGGTATACTTATTCCTATTCATTTCTCTATCCCAGTGCAAATGCGTGTGCAACGGCCTTCAACAACAAATTTATGAACGCAGCTCTGTCTTCTGCCTTCCAAGCATGCAGGTCGGATCCAGCGGGACTTGCCGCTATTACTGCCACCCAAGGTACTATATTGCAAGATTTATTACATCAATTGATTGATCTGAAATATTATACCATTGCGCTACTCTAAGGGTAATTCACCCAGTTGATATTATTTTTGTTTCCAAGTCTCAGTTCTAGACTTTTTCTTTTTAATTATTGGTGTTATTTAGAGACGTATCTTGAAATAGTGAGTGGAACCATCGAAAATTCATGAGAGATTTAGAAAAATAATTAGGAATTTGCGTTTCCTCAGGTATTCCTGTGTGCGCGGGCTACATGGGAGATGATGTCGGCGATATCAAGTGCCAAGTTGCCTCAGCTCCTTACATGAAATGTGTAGCGGGAAAACTTGGTTACGTAAGTCAGGAAATATCGTTACGGTGCCTTTTCATCATCTGTCATGAACTCCACTTTGAATATTAGCTGACACTATTTGTGGGGTTGAACGTGACAGCAAATCATGTGAATAACGAAAAATTATAGTGCACCATCAGAGCTATCTCTTTCAAACAATTTCATAAGGTAATAAATTATATAACGAAGTTGCAACCCTTGTAAATGTGAATACATCACTCAGTCATTCATTTCTAGTTGAACGCTGATGGCTCCATCAACACCACGAAGATCTTAGCCCAGTACAAGACTTGGGCCACCAGCGACCCCAAGTGCAACGTTGCTCAGTACGACTTCGCTGTGAATAAATGTGGCACAACCATCAACAACTACGCTGTAAGTTTTTCTTGCATTAAGGGTGCCCACACAGTGAAAGCAGGTTTCCAGCGTGCAGGTTACCTGCTCAGGCTGGCGTCTGAAACCACAGAATACAGAAGCCTATTCGTACAGGTTTTCACTGTGAACACTTACATTATTATCCTATGTTCATTCTTGTGGCAGGTTGGAGCAGGTTGCCCGCGCGGGCAAACCTGCTTCCACTGTGTGCGTACCCCTAAGGGTACCCACACAGTGAAAGTAGGTTGCCAGCGTGCTGGTTACCTGCTTAGGCTGGCGCCTGAAATTGAAATAAATGGGCCTGGCGCTGGCCTATTCGTACAGGTTTTCACTGTAAACACTTACATTATTATCCTATGTTCATTTCTTGTGGCAGGTTAAGGAGCAGCTTGCCCGCACGGGCAAACCTGCTTTCACTGTGTGGGTATTAGCGAGACACGCTCAAAGTTATTCCATAGCAGGGCAATAAGTTGAGATTATTTTACACTAAATTGATGTCAAATGTTAACTTAAGAGCAGAGTGATAATTTGAGTTACGAGTATGTGGAAACTTATGCAATTCATTCTCAGTTTATGTGGAAATGCGTGTCGAAATTTCAGACTATTCAGGAAGTTTCTTTGATCTGGTAATACCCTTTTCTAATGCCAATAAAACATATGATTACCTGTGAAACTGTAAAGCATACCATTCTACCTCTCTCTAATTTCTTTGGATAATGTTGCGTAAAGTTATCACTTCAATTCTAAGCATTCTTCCACTTTTATACACTACAACTGAAGCATCACTTCAATCTGAACTTTTTTGTTGATATAATTAACTGCTACAAACAGTTCATGGCGAAGGCCGCGTGCATCGCCAAGGCGACGGAACAGTACACTGGGTGACCTGCGCAATCTGGCCCTCATACTTTCATCTGATTGGCGGCTTTGAAGTGTTCACAACAGCTGCACAATAATAATTAGTAAAACACCAGCATTTTCATAGTGTAGGCGATCGCCTCTGCTAGCAGAGGCTGGACATAGGCTATGCATGTCCTGTGTGTAGTAGTCCTTGAATAAATTATATACATACATGAATGTTCTTTTGATTGACCTTTTTGTTGTGGATAAAATGTTGGGTTGTCTGTTACTCAAATCTCTCCGTGTTTTGCGGAGAGATTCGAATCATTGTGGAGAGATTCAAATCATTGCGTAGTTAAAAAAATTATTAAGTAAAATACACACGAGGAAAGTAAACACAAAAGACCAAAGAAACCATGCAATAGAGAAAGGCAGAGATGCGATGCATTAGTTTCGAGACACATCGCTGTCAGTAACTTGAAGTAAGTTTTACGGACATGCATTTGGGGACAGAGAAATGTTAAAGAGAGTCGAATGACTCTCTCCATAAGTCGAATACCATTTGTTTCTATAAGAAAACATGAAGCACACAGCATTAATTCTCAATTAGAGCAATTTTTGAGTCGATAAATGGAATAATGTTGATCAAGATGATCATTACTGGGAAATGCTCAAATGAAATTAGCAAAAATGCAATCAAACTAAGCGAAACTAACTTGTTGAAATAATTTCAACAAGTTTGCAGTGAAACAGGAATATTTCTGTGATTTGATAAACATCGAGAGTCATCGTTACATTTCAGACTGAATAATATTCCCTAACATTCTTCAATCGTTTGCTAGTACTTGTTACATAGCTTTGAATCGACCAGATTTATGTTTAAGGCGATCGATAGCTCTTGGAATCATTTGTCCCACACTCCTGGATAAAAAAATGGCTCCGAAATATGAATAGCGGTAGTGAAAAGTCCGTTCAACCGGCTCCAAGCTAAATGTATTCAAAACTGACTATTTGGTTTGCAACTGCTCCGCGCCAGCATCAGCTTCAAGCCAACCTTGTTCACGTGGACAATGAGTTTGTCATGCCCGCGTCTTCGGTTTGCTACCTCGACATTGTGCTTGACTCTGAACTTTCCATGAAAAATCGCATTGACAAAGTCACCTCCGCTTGTTTTGGCGCTTTGTGACGAATACGCAGCGTCAGCCGCTGTCTCTCGAGGCTGCACACTCAATGGACTTCTAACATGGTGATGCCACACTCTATGGACTTCCGACCACTAATTAAACTGCAATCCATAATGAACGCTGCTGCGTGACTCGTGTGCAATAAGCAAAAATTCGACAACGTGACGCCAATATTGTTCGATCTTCACTGACTGCGCATGCAGCAGCGCACGCAGTTCAAGGTCACTGTTCTGACGTTCCGATGCCTTCAAGGCCTGGCGCCTCCTTATCTCACGGAATGTCTGGGGCGCGTATCGCATCTGACTTCTAGAAAACAGTTGCGTTCGTCAGCAGCAGACGAATTTGTGCCATCTCTACGTCTATCTACCGTCGGCGACAGAGTTCCCGGTCGCCGGCGTTGGACCAGGAACTGTCTGCCGGCTTACGTAACATCGGCTCCTTTGTTGCAGTGTTTCGTTGACGCCTGAAGACGGAACTATTTTGTAGAGCCTATGAATCATGTGCACAGTCATTTTTATCAGTTTTAATATAATGTTGTCCCTATTTCTTTTTTGCAAGTTATTGAACTCATTTGTAACGTGCCCTCGAAGTTCGTTCGAACCAAACTACACGAAACTGCTACCTTTAATTATAATAATGGGCTAAGTAGTGCCGTCTCAGGGTACGCCGGGAATTTACATCTCGTGTGGTTTCCCGGCTGCTTAAATAATGTTTTTTACCAGCAAAAATTCTTTACATTATCTTAATCATTTTGCAAAAACAGGAATGGCTTCTTTAATGTAACGCAGGAACGACAATTACATAGAAAGATTTCATTTGTAAGACTTATCTCTGCTCTCTGGTAGTCGCTTGCTCGTTGTGTGGGAGGCATGCGCAGGAAGAGGAAATTAATAGGAGCTTATACTCTCTGCCGGATCGGATCAATGTTGAAATTTGAAAAGTGAAAAAATGAAGATGAGTGCGCCCTTGTTGAACAAGTACATTGGTTGAACAATTTGAAAAGTTAAACGATTTGCAACCCGCTAACCGGTTGTATGCAGTATCAATCACACGAGTTTTGGGTCTGGGTGGCATCTACGTACGTTTACATTTTCTGCGGGACGTGGCGTAGAAAACCGAACAATGATAGTAACTTAGTTATATTGCAGTTCTTTCATACTAGTCATATATTATCAATTTAATGAAAGCTAGTAATTCCTGCGTATCATATGGCATATTTGTTAAAAAAATACTTATTTTCCTACACTGTTGTTTGAAGATTTTCATAAGAACAACACTTGAATAAAGTAAAATTTTGTAGAAATATCAATCAGCACAAGTGAACTTTGTTAAATGAAACAATTTAAATCTATTGAGAAGAGGCATACGGTTTCATTTTACAATAATAATCTCAGTTACAGGTAGAACTTGGAACCAAATAGGATAACTTCTTTAGTCCATTGATGAGCAAACATTTCTTCGATTGTTACCGATTCTGATACAATTTCAAAAATGTAAAATCATTTGTGCGGACTGTTTACCGTTTTAACCGTCTGTTATGACAGTGTTAATAAGCTCAGATTAGACCTGCTATCAAAAGTTATCCATTATTAAAAAGTTCCGCCAAATTATATAATACCGTTTCTTCTCTCGATCAAGTGTTAAAATAATTTTATTTGTAGTGGCAATTGGATGTGTTGTGTTTGTAGTGGCAATCGATGAATCGAACCTTTTACTCTGTTGCAATAACTTACATTATTATTCACTACGACCGGTGCATAACATGTTTCAACCCTAATATATCGAGAGGATCAATTTACTCTTATCTTAATGTTATAATGACTGTCGTTAATGATTTACGATCACAATGGAATGGTAGGTATAAGTAACGTCGTTAGACAATGGGTCAATTTCAGCGGGACCTTAGCCGTTCTGGCACTCAGTCAACTCAATTTTCACCATTGTTCGAAAACTCACTTCGATTCAGTGTAATCTAGTGACAAGTTCTCTTCCAAAACTTGCTTGTTAAATTATACCGAAGCCTAATAATTAAGTGCGTCATCGTACTAACAACGTACGTTGCCTTTAAGCTGGCCTGCCCGAGTGACGTACGAACAAAGCTATTAAACAGGTTTTGCACACCTGCGTGTCGACTCAAACCTTGGCCTTCAGTCAGCACGCCAATCTTATATGTATTTACCATTCAAAGTATAAGAATGAACGAGTAGCAAGCCAAAAAATGAATCATTCACATTTTAGAGACGCAAGTCGTACATGGATTAAAATATTACTCTTGTATACTCAATTTGCGGTTACTAAGACATGGGATAAAGAATTTGTTACTAATTCGCAGAAACCGCAGTTTCGCATGACGCTGAGCTTCCAAACGCCCTTGAATTGCGTCGTTCAAAGGCAAGATTTTTTCCACCCGAGTTAAAACGCAATTCTGATCGAGCATCAATTTGGGACTGGGGTTTGGTCTCAACAGATGTTTAGGGGTTCACAAGATGTCAACCATGAATTTAATGCTAGTGCCCTCGTGGTTGACAAAGCTGGGCAACCAAGATTTCTATAATTTTGGAAAATTCATATTCTAAAAAAATTTTAGCAGGAAATTATTTCTTCTGCCAGGTTTTGAGTGAGACAGCTGTAGTAATAAAAAATTTCATGGAACAATTTGTAATATGAAAACAACAATTTGAAAATAACAATTTGTAATGATTTATTGTTTATAACTTATCCATTTTAATGAATAAAGATTATATTATAAATTATTTTTTTAGTAATCAAATATAAATTCCTGACTCGGTACTTGCTGATTCACTCTACCGAGATGCGCTCATCGCACGCTACGTCAAGTCAAATCCTCGAGCAGTTTTTGCGACTACGCAGCCGATTGTTACTTGGAATCTTGAACCAGTTTCGTGTCGGCTTTTTTCGTACTGTAACACGCACGTTTAGAGCTCTCTGCAAGTTTCAAATCAATCATGACCATCAGATCAAACTGATCCATAACATTCAGCCTAATTTATCGTACTCAGTTCTCAATTTTATATTATTTAGCTTAAAGAAAAAATAGATCTGTTATGTCCCAGTCTCGTAAATCAGGCCTGACTGTCAAGAGGTTTGTCGCATCATTTATTTTGCTTCTTGCCAAGAAAGCAGTTAGTCGTTCACAGGTAGTCGTGGTGTGAGCGTCGCGTCTGACAGTGACTCTCATATGTTGTGTCTCGTATCAACTAGTGAGGACTGTACAACTTTAAAGTCGAACGCTTGACGGGAAAGTTACAGAATAATCCTTGACCTGAAAAAATTTGAGTGAGGTAATCATTGCAAGAATTTGTCTTCCATAACTGCCGAGCACAAACAAACGTGCTTGAGTGTTTACTGGTTCAGGCAGGAATCCACAACGCTTGCTTGGCTTAAATTTTTTTTTAACAATCATGCTGAGTCTCGCACCAAACCTACTTGAATGAATCATCGTGAATTGAAGATTTATGTGATTAAAACATTAATTTCGAATTCCTAACCATACCTAACCTTCATTATTATGAAGTAACATCGAAAAGCTTCGTGTTAAGTTTGACTACCTACCGGCGCAGTCCTAATATACCAAGTCGGCAGTAAGACCAGCAACTAGGCCGGTTGATGCCAATGTTTTACAATAAATATTTTTAGTAAAATAAAATTATAAACACAAATCAAACATTCAGAAAATTGAACAACTTTTGGTCATTTCAAAAAATTATCCAATAATAGATTTCTATTTTCATCTAGCCTGAAATTCTAAAAGTTTTCTAGCCATAGGGTACGAAAGTCTACCTAATCATATTTGGCATCAGTCGAACGAGGTTTTTATTAATAATNATTTACAAATATAAAGTCGTGATGCTGATGCTCGTTGTGATAAACTGATTATTTTTTTCCCACTATTACAGTTTCGTGTCAGCTTTTATCGCACTGCAACACGCACGTTTAGAGCTCTCTGCAAGTTTGAAATCTAAAAATAAAATTATAAGTATTAAAGTAAAATAAAAACTACTCAGCCGAGTACGAATCACTACACAAGCTTTCAAGTCTGTTATCAGTTTCCTCGGGACGACAAAAGTACCGGATATTATTTATCCCATTCACTAATTAAATAAATGATAGCGTATTTATTTTACTCAAATTTCGGCTGACTTCTTGTGTGGGTCAAGGAATAAAATTGTGATAGTGCATTTTTTAATCGTGGTTTCGGCTAACTTCTTGTGTGGGTAAAAGAATTAAATGGATTACCTACATTGATAATAACACACTTTATAGAGGGCAAATGTTCTATTTATTTGTCAGATTCTTATCGATATTACCGAGCAATCTAGATAACAATACTTCATCAGACGATAGGCGCCGGTCTCGGTCATGGTAACTAAAATGTGAACGTAAAAAGCTGCGCACTTGATTCGAATAATTCCAAGGCAATCGTTTACTTCTAAACAAAATTTTCAAACAGAAACTTGCAATTAGTTTACTTTATACGTGAATCTGAAGGAACACGTGTCAGATAAATCATAGATTTTTATTCAGTATACTTTTAATACATCTCATTCTGTTTTTAATAATCTCGAGAGCTTAGGTAGAAGTTTCAGGTTTAATTTTAGGTCCCCAAAGCTCTTGAACAATTATCGAAATTATTTTTGAGCTCAAAAATTTTCGGTCAGATAGGTTATAATTAATTTAGCTCTGAAATCTTTCTTTCTTTCTGCGTAATATTTTTCTTCTTGTAACATCATCAGTCATCGTATGCCCAAATCGTCTATGCAATATTTACCGAAATATTCTGTATTTCCTGATTACCGATCGAAAAAGTTTCATTCGTTCATAATTGTTACGTAACCAAATGCAAGAACCATGATAGTTTATTGGCTAGGACCAGGACTGGTTACTAGGGAGGAACATCTCTGGAATGAACTTCTCAACTGACCTTGAACTTAAACCGTCTGCTGCTCTAGGGCTGACTGTTGCATATTTCAAACCGTGCTCTTGTCCCAGATCTATACTGCCTCTGATGAAAAATTCATCATATCCTACAGGAAGTTTGGAATTTTAAGAAGACAAATATTTCAAGATACGCTTGCATTCTCATGTCCTTCAGGAAGTTTGGAATTTTAAGAAGACAAATATTTCAAGAGATGATTGAATTCATGAATTCTAATCTTCTTTACATTATAAACATTGAGTTATACAATTCAATGCTGAATTCAATGAACTTCCATAATAATTACCGTAATTCGAATACGCTTAAATGATACAAATTAACCAACAAATAACAAACATGTTGTACATGAATTCTTGCAGAATAAATTTTGATGCAATTTCTCAAAGTTTTGAACGGGACTTTGTTTAAATATAATACAGGTTACAATAAGCATCAGCCGTAATGATCTATTGAAAGCTAATAACTAGTCCATGCATGTCTGCTCTCATACAGATATGATCTGCCAAATGAAATGGACCGAAAGTAATCTGATAAAACTTTGTAACGTTAGTAAATATTACTAACTTTAAAACACAGCAGACTAAACTGAATTGCATTGCATTGATTGTATTGTTTGTTTACGGACTGTGTGCTGTGACGAAATGTGTTATCGGGAGCTCTTGAAAATTTATAATTGATCAAATAGCCAACTTTCTTATGTATGCTTCCAAGCTGCTCTCTAAAATATGCATCATTCTAAAATATGCGATTATCCTTCAATTAAATATTCTTTATATACGCATGTATTGTGAGAATTTTCATAATATTATGCAATGTATGCGGGAAATATAGTTCATGAGAAATTTTGCATGGTGCGTGACTGCGTGCTCCAGTGCTCCATGGCACAAGTGCACGCTGACTGTCCGGATTTCTCAGAAAATTTCAAAGAAAACGAAATATTTTCCTCAATTAGAAGAGGAACTTTTCTTATCAAGGCACCGCAACCTCGCTGTACTAACATGTAATGCTGAACACAAACGTACTTCAATTCCAGAATCATACCGCAGTTTAACTTCAGAAATACAAGTGAACCTGCCGCCAAAGAAATAAACGTGGAAGCCAACAAATAAATAAATAAACCATTCATTTGTGCTGTTTGGAGCAAACTCGCATTGAATCTGTTCACTTATAATAACCTCATCCTCTACTCCAGGTCCAGGAAAGTCTACGTCTAAACTTGCCCTCCAAGAATATTCACGTGTAAAAATAACTGCTTCCGAAAAAAACGAGTATTTAATTCTGCCAATTAGATATTCAAATTCGCATACATAATAAATAATAAAGTGCAAGCAAGTCCTCATTTTTCAAAAAAGCAAGTCCTCAATTATCAAAAAAGCAAGTCCTCCATTTTCAAAAAAAAAAAATACCTCGGAAAATACACGTCGAAGATGACAGCGCTCACAGGCTCGCCGCCCCGTTGGGCGCTCAACTCTCAGCTGCTGTTGGCCATCAGGACGCATGACGTTGGCCGAGCATCTCAGTTGCTGCGCGCTGGGGTCGACGTCGACACGAGATTTGCGATCAATGCGAATAAACTACCAGCGCTTTGTTTGTCTGTGGAGAACAACGACCTGGCTATGGGTGAGTTTGCAGGGCACAACCGCCCTCCATGCCGCCGCTGCACAAGGCTCTCTTATAGTGAATATAATTAATTTATTAAGTTCCGTATTTATTCATTTATTACATTGAAATATTTGGCGCCCTAACATCAACGCCGAGACAGCGCAAGGCTCTCTCGGTGAATGCAATAACTTGTATTTAGTAATGTATTTATATTTTCATTACTTCTATATAACTTTTCAATATACACGACTGTATTTATCATTTGTACTTCGGCCTTGCCGAAGTTTGTTTGTATATATTATTTGTATTCATCATTTGTATTCATAAAACTGTACCTCGGACATGCTCAAAACTACTAAAGCCTACATCTCTTATTTACTGTGCTGCTGAGTATTTGCGAAAGTATTTATTTGAATTCTTTACAAATTTCAAAGTTTATCGTTGTTTTTTTTCCACGCCCTATACACTATAGTTTAGGAAGAGTTGTGGATTTTTTTAGGGACTCGAATTAAAAAGCTTTTCCATTATTTGCGCAATTTTTCGGCTATAAAATGGAGTACAATATTCGCATCATTTTCCAAAACGCAATATCTATAAAATCCGGGATTACTAAGTGGAATAAAGTAGTACCAATGCATCAGTGTCGTGCTGATTTAGCAAGATCTTGTCAATAGGTTTCACTTCTAAACTAATAGTGAATGAATTCTCCAAACATATATGGCATTATGCTTCCAATCCTCAATATAAACTTTAATTTCAGATCTTGTGGAGAAACTTTTATCGTACGGAGCTGACATCAACGTCCAGGATAAGAACGGAGTATCGGCCCTTCACTTGGCGTGCTCCGGGGGACACTCAGAAATTTGTCGGACCCTAATGGCTGCCGGAGCTCACGCCGCCATCTTGGACTCGGTGAACAACACTCCTCTGCACTACGCAACATCGACCTGCGGCGTAGATTTGGAAACTGTAACTCTTCTCATTAGGAAGTGTCCTCAAGCCCTTTGCGTTACAAATAAATCAGGCGAAACACCACTCATTATAGCCATCAGAAGTGGTAGGCAAGATGTCGAAGAACTACTGGAAGAGATCTTGAAAGATGCCATGCAAATGATGCCTCAAATTTGCCATGATATGATACTTTGTCACAGAACTGAAAGAGGTCACACGCCGCTTCATTTGGCGGTTCTTGAGAAGTTGACGTCGTGCATCCGAATACTCTTAGCCGCAGGAGCTGAGGTGAACTCCAGAGACCACTTGGGCCATACGCCATTGGCTTCGGCTTCCCGAGATGGTAACGTTGAAGCCGTGGCTCTACTTTTGTCGGCCGGAGCAAGCACAAGGACACTCGTAACACAGAATTTAATTGATGATGATGTCAAAGACCCGCTAATTGCCCAAATGCTCGTGGATGCCTCCAAAGAACCGTTAAAATTGTCGGCGGCCTGCAGGAAAACTTTATGCCGAACATTCGGGTTGTCGGATGAGTTAGACTCAACGCTCCCATCTCAGTGGAAAAAATTTCTTAGGTATGAAACAATTGACTTGTAGAAAATATTGTTAAATTTACCTATGAACTTTCACCGCCATTGGTGTTCCCGAATCCGCTTTGCATTACTGATGTCTCTAAAAGGGGATTTAATCAATCGTTTTTTGGACTTCACCTGGACTTCAATCATCATTTCCACTTTGGCTCTCGCTTGTGGCACCAGGTTTTAATTTTGGTCCTCGTGCTTCAGTCGTTTTTGCCAACATAAATTTTCACGTCTGTTCACCACTCAGGGAATATTTTAACGCATCAATATCCTTATTTAATACAATGTCTAATTTCATATTGTTCATGGACTGGCAAGTCAGCACTAATATCACATAATTAAACTGAAACAGCGAGGCGACATGCTTCTTACACTTGAGATCCGCTGAAGAATCTGTTAAGAGCCAAGATTTTTCCGGTACCCTGCTGAATTGATTAATTTATTTTTGTTGTAATTTTATTTCACGCTTCTTAGCGAATCAAAATTTCAATATTTTTTGCTACGTTGACAGTAAGAAATTTTGCAGGCCAAATAATCATCTACGAAATTATTTCTATTACCGGTAAATTATCTACACGAAATTTGAGAAATAATTTTTCTGATAATACTAGATACGTATGCAAAGGAAAAACTAGCATTTTAAACCTTAACTTTTACAAAATTGCAATTATTATGTCAACATTTAATGATGTTGTTGTTTTGATATGACATTTGTCTTTCCCATGTAAATTTACATTAGCGTAGTGTTTGTTTATAATATTTTGTTGGATAAACGTTCATTAAATAAAGTTTTTCCGCTGTCTCGGATACTTTCTGCACCCACTGTATGTTTATACGTTATCCAATTCAGCAAAAATGTGTTAGGGCGAATTCACACGTCTCCCTGATAAACACCCATCTATAGCAAGCCACAGTATAATTTCATCCTATTCCAGCTTCTAATTTAACTTCCATTGATATTATTTTTAAATGCTGTATACCTTTCCTATCTTGGTCAATGTTTAGACAATAAGTATTTAATCAATCTAATTTTTATTTTCATGCTTTCCGACAATCCCTAACATTATATAGTGATAGAAAAGTGTAATTTTTTATTTTCCTGCATTAGTCACATCCTGCATCCTCAACGAATTGCTTCTACCTTCATATATTCATAGATCGCTCAAAGAAAATAAAAATAATATATGTAACAAAATAGCATGAAACTACGGATCATCAATAAATGAATACAACTTCTTTTAATTTTACATTGTGATGTATAGTCTACATATTGTAGCTTACCCTAAAATTATGCACGAAAGTTTTAATGCAAATAAATATGTGTCAATGACCTTGTTGTGAGAAAAATCTGCAGTATTTTATAACTTCAGTTACATTTATTTGTGCTAAACTCAAGTTCGTGCACAGTATATATTTTACTCACGTTAATGCATTGCGCATGAGTTTTTTTTTTTTTAGACGTACTCCTAAATTTGAGGGCTCTTTGCCTGACGGAAATAAAATGACTGAAGCTTACGAAACAATGCGTCGCGGAATTATTCGGTTGAAACGCCTTAAAGAGTGCATTTTGTTCTGAACACAACTTATAATGCATGTGGAGCTGAAATTGATGTTCTAAGTTTTTCCTATTAATAATTTATTGTTGAGGCTTCTTCACAACTGATTCCATCCCTTAATACTGTAATAATTAAGAGGTGTAGTCTGGAGCCAATGTCATTCAGGAGATAGAACGTTTATATGTCCACGACCATACACTACCTTGGAATTCATTCTTCGTTCCACTGCGTTGTTATTCGAAATTTATCCCAGTTCTTCCGATGATTCAGTGAGCTCATTTAGTCTGATGTCTCTTGTATGTTAGTTTCGTGCATCATATAGTTTAAATGCCACGTTAAGTTTTTTTATCTCGTATTATAAAATTCTCTTGTCTCTATGTGCAGAAACTCATCATCAATAAACCTGATAAAAGTCTCGAATAATCATAATACTTTCACAGAAATTTGGGGAAAATTTCATAGTATTCTACAGTAAAATATGAACTGAATTATTCTATTTTTACATACTAGAAACTTTTTTGATTTCCAAAATGATTGTACTTCCTACATAGATGAGGAATAATCTCAAAAAATGGCTATCGCTTGTTTATTATTGATATATCAATGTTACAGCTCCGATTTTTATTACGCATAGTGTTGATGCTGTAACTTGGAAGTGTACGAATTTTAATTAAAATATCCCGAAACTTATGAAAATCTTAGCCACACATTTTTATCTTACCTCAAACCATCATTCTATTTATGCATTACGAATATATTAAAATAAAATAATAATACGGCTTTTATTTCTTTCTCAAGCGGGTCTGTATTTGTGCTTTAATTTATTGTAGTATTTCTCAAATGAGTCTATTAAGTTATTTAGTACACATTGAATATTCCTACGTTTCCATTTATCTCATTCTTTTGTTTCCACTACTGGCCCACTTAGTAATTCGACTATTTTTAGAAAAAAAAAACAATTAGACTTTTTCTTACAATGCTATAAGAAAAAAATGAGAATTTATGGGCAGAATATATCAACGGTTGTTATATACACAATTACCACAGATTCTAAGCCGAAATGGAGCAAAATACATCGCTTATTTTGATAAGATCATCATTATTCGGATTGATGAACTACGTAATTATGGATTCGCTTTCAAGACAGATTTTATACTATAATTTAAATTGTTCATAACTCTTTCGAACCCAGTGCTGTTGGAATATTTCGTGTTTTAGTTTGCAAGCGTAGCAGGTAATGAAAGACGAAGGGAAAAATCAATATAATTATTGAGTAAAATTCATGGGAATACATACAGTAATTAATTAATAAACTACTGAGACAAAGGAGACTAGATTTCCTTCGAAGTTCCATCATAAAATTAATTCCAGTTCAACACAAGAGAGATAAAAAAACTTTAAATTATTCGACTATGAAGGCGAGCGACAACTTCATATCAACAATTACTTCATCATAATTGCAATGTTGTCATAATTCGTAATTAAACTAATAAAATTTCGTGCCAACTGCTCAGTCATCACAAAAGTTCCACATTAAATATTACATTGTCAAGGCAAACGTCCGTTTCAATTCATGAAAAACAACGCATTTTTACATACATCCATCTACAAATCACAAGTACATTATAATAATT